TTTTAGATCGCAATCTAAAAGTAAAGTAAGAGCACAACCCCGATGAAGCCAGATATGACAGAACATTTGATTTGAGAGAATAAAAAGCAGTTATGAATGACTGATGTGAAATAAGTAATACATCTTAGTGCCCTGTGATGGAGTGCATGCAGTGCACGCAGGAAATACCAAAATCCAGGCATTGCAACAACATCACCATAAAATAAATGAAAAAAAAAATTGTTTTTCCTGCAAAACTGTTCCCTGGAGTTTTTTCTGTTGTCTTAGGAAACTGATGTTTAATCGTTTTTTAGAGGGGAAATTACAGAAATTGGTTAAATAAGGTGCAGCATGCATGAAGTGGCACTGGGAAGTGAGCGTTTATCAATCTCAATCTTATGCAAAGTGTGTGAAAAAGAAAACCAAGCAAGGTCATTTTCTGCTCAATGAAAGTTTTCCTTCCATTAAGAATCAAATCAAGCTCTGGATGACTGCTCTTTAAAAATGTTCACTCCCTTAAAAACACTTCTATTCCTGAATCCTTAAAGGAATATTCCACCCCGAAGGAAAATTTAGTCTGTTGCCATATTCCCCAGAGTTAGATAAGTGGGAAAAAGTCATTCACCTAATCTGGCAGTTAGCTTTAGCTTAGCATAAACAATGTAAGCGGATGGTAACAGCTAGCCTTTGATGTGAAAAAGTCATGAAAATTACTCAATACTAGGCACAAAAACATGAAGCAGCGGCCCCAAAACGTGCCGTGCACGTGCTGTTGATATGGTTGAAATCTCGTAAATCTTGTAAATGCTATGAGGTACACTGCAAGCGTTGGGGCTGCGGCATCCTGTTCCAAGTCTAAATCGGCTCCTGTAATTTCTCATGTTACCTATTTTTTTTTATTTGCAGTGAATATGATTATTGACATCACCCAAAAAAAGATTAGGATCATTATTGAGTAATTTTCACGACATTTTCAAACAAAAGGCTAGCTTTTGCCTTCACTTTCATTGTTTATACTAAGCTAATGGACTACTGCCAGATAGGGAGGATGACTGGGCTGATTGCAAAAAGGCTTTTCCCCTGTGACTTTGGGGAATATGGCCATGGAGTAAATTTCACTTAGTAGTGGAATATCCCTTTAATGGAGGAGCATATACTCACTTGTGGACACAACGATGTGAGTTTTGTTTTTGTCGGAGCAGCAGGACGAGTTGCGGACGTCACTCAGTGCCATGTGACCAGTGTCGGGTAGGAAAGGTCACAGCCCTGCAGACTCTCCCAGTTTACGGAGTTTAAATAATCCTGCAGACAACTATAGGAAAATGTTGACTTTGTGGAACAGATTATCCTCCTTCCACACTGCTATGTTTGGATCCTGATGACATACGTACAGGTTCTCTTGTGTTTGCATGACAGTGTGCTGGACAGCTTTCAGACTGTTGGAGCACTCATAGTTGAAGGTTATCATCTTATTAGTCTAATGCATGATACACATTTGACATTGCCCTATTGATGTGGTTGTATGTTTGTCTGGATCATACTCCTGCACTCACATCAGACTAATTAGTTAAATAGATCAAATAAGTTGCCATTTTTTGCCTAAAAGTTGTTTTTCTCTTCAATCGTTTGCCATCCTAATTTCAATGATTTGCATACATAAGTATTAATTTTACCACATGATAACATGCAGCCAGTTTTCTTTTGAATTGAAATCTTTCTTTTTGTTCAGTAACGATAACATCTGCATTGAAGTTTAACGTGGGAACCCTTTGCACTCGCTACTGCATTGTTGGGGGATAAAAGGGCATTGATAGGAAAGCAGATAAAGCTGATCAATATGAATAGCAGTTTTCTCCGCAGGCCTTCTTTCATATCTTCCTCTTGTTTGTGTTTTGAGGGGTCGGGGGTAGGGTCTGGTAAAGTGGTGGCGTGGGCGGGCTTCTGCCCCTTTATCAATCAGGATTTTAATTACACACGTCTAGGGCGACAGCTAGATTAGAAACCAATCGACGCTATCGGCCACAAAATCTAATTACTGTTTATTGACAGATAAGGGCAGGCTCCCTTCACTTTTTCAAATAAGATAAACCTCCCCCCTCGTACACAATGAACAGCAGCTCATACTGTCCATGAAAGACTATGATGAGTCAACCCCCACCAGAAAATTCCTCTACCTAAACTTCTTATTGGAGCCTAATTAGAAATCTCCCTTGAAAAGATTTAAATGAGACAAAAGTAGAAACTCTCCCCCCAAATTTTGAGGCTTCCAATCCTGTTTTTCTTATTTATTCAGATAATTTCTTAAAATCACAACTTTTATTATAAATTCAGTTGCACTCTATTTTTAAACTTTCCTACAAACATATGGGGTTATAATGATGAGTGGATGACCTTTAACCCTGCAGAGTGGACACAGGTAAGTCATCCTGCCCCTGTGGTCTCTTCCTCCTGTACCTGCACAACTTCATCCATATCAACCTCCTGTTTCCAGCCTCCGTCTCCATGTGATGCACTTTAAGCCGAGAATCTGCCTCAGGTAAATATGGAGTAAATGATTGGATTATTGTTTTTTCATTCAGCTGTGTAGTAATGGGTGGATTATAAACGTTGCAGAGTATAGATTTCCTGTCAGATCCTATGAATCAGACATCCTTATCTCATTTCCAGACCGCTGCTCCACCCAGTATGACCACCTCCCAGTTGAGGAGTCTGTGAGAACACGGGGGACCTAAAAATACATTTATGCACGCACAAATAAAACACACCGACAGACAGACAAGAACATAAAGCCACACAAGTTTAGGTTGTGAGTGACAGAGACACCTGTCACAGCCCCGGCACTCCAAAGTCCATTTGAAGATTTCAAAAAACACTCAGGTCCCTTGTCCATATTTGTTAAGAAACTAAATCTACGAGCTACAGTGCCTTGAATTTAAAGTCATCAATAGAGAGAGCATGAGAGCAGGAGGGATTGGGAGACTGATGAAAATTAGTTGAGGGTGGGATGGGGCGGCTGGCAGCAGGAGGAGGGAGAGCGGCTCTCATTGGGTTTGAATTGTGAAGAAAAATGTTTGGGTTTGAATGATGTCACAATTTTGACCAGGACTGGAGATTGATGCCTGTGATGCTCGGACATCACATCATAGTTGTGTTTTGATACGTTTCATGTTTTTCTCCCTCTGCCAGGCCTTTCTGCCTCTCCACTGAGTGTCTTTTCAGTGGATTACCAACAGTGTAATAGAATTAGGGAGCTGTGCGGACCAGCAACTGCTGCACAAACATGCTTTTGTTGGAATTCATCAGAACGCGCCGCACAACCTCAGAAAGAGCAAAACAACAATCCAAAAGAGACTGTTGAAAAAGAAAGAGTGGATACTCTTCTATGAAAAACTTACAAAGCAAGAATGAAAAACTTTAATTAATTTTTACTAAGGATGTATTAATATTTCTTTGAAAATCTGTAAACTCTGCATGCAACGTTAGATTTGAAGTCTCACAACCTTTAGAAAATGGAAAACTCAAATTTTCTTTTCTTTCTTGCAAGATTTTTACAAGTGTTTTACTTTTATTAATTGTAAACATCAGATTACACACACTAGTGCAATAAAGATAAAACACTGAGCAGCTTAATTTGCGATCAGTAGTTTTGTAGATTTATCTGGGATTTCTTTTGCATTAACTGCAAAGACGGCTGGACTGATGTGGAACAACTCTGCCAAATCTGCTCACCCTCCGTTTTGATGTGAAGTACAGCAACTTTCTTTTGGCCTATATTTCCTCCTTTTTTCTGTTTAAAATAAATAATTTAATAACACTTTTATAATCTAATCTTTTGTGTTTTAAACAAAAACTCTAAATTTTGCAAATGTAGCAATTTTATTGCCGTGCTACCCCTTTGATTAAACAAAAAAGACTAGTTTGAAAGTTGTCTTGCATTTATTTCAGCTCATTCAGCTCTCAAAGCTGCAAAAAGAATAGAAACAGAATTCCTACAGTCACTTTTCAGTGCTCCTGTTAAAAGACAAATTTAAAAAAGTTATCCTTAAAGAGCAAGTCACCCCCAAATCAACTATTTTTTTCTGATAAACTATATAAATGCGTGTCTAATTGTGCTGCAAACACATGTATAGTTTAGCACTTTAGTGCATTTTGGTTCAAATTTAAATTTTCTGCCTGAAACTGTCAGTGTTGTGCCGTTGTCAGGTAAAAACTCTTCACTGCATTTGAATTTAAATCTGCCACCGCTATCGGCTAAGGCGTATGCTATGATGTAAACTGGTACATTATGATGTCACAATGTTGTGAGTGTGTGTATTTGTTGGTGGCTCCACCCTCTCGGTCTGCTAGGCAACAGCATTTGTTGCATTTTTCAAACAGGAAGTGGTAGTTAAGAATCTGGCAGGGATGACTTGCTCTTTAACATATTGTTTGAAAAAAAAACTCTAAAAATAAAAAATATTAAAAATTGCCTTTGGAAAACCCACGATGTAAAAGTTGAATATGGTAACAGATTTGGAGTAATGTGAGGCTTGTTTTATGTATGAAAACATGCTAAAGTCACTGTGTCATTGGCGGTTCTAGGGGTGGAACCACAGGGTGATTGGCCCCCTGCTGAAATCCGCTAACGTGACCCAGTCCTGTCACACATCAGTCCTTGCTTGATGATCAGAATAGGTGGATGAGGTTCCAGTTCTAACCACTAGGGGTGCTAATAAGCCAAAAATGCATTTCCGGTGTAAAATCTGTGTAAAGATGTTGGACTAATACTTGGCCCCTCAAGAAATATTGTGGCCTCTTGATGGGTCCAGAAAAATCCTTGATCCACCACTGCTTTGTGTTTGAAAAAAAGAGAGATGGCTCATGTAAAATATTTTCTTTATGTGCAAACAAACAAAACTAGTGATGGCTTTGATGGAATAAGTTCAAATATCCCTAAATTTCTTTACTGATCTCCCAGCATAGATTCAGCAGGAGACAATTTTCCTCTATCAACTTCCATCTGTCAACTCACATTTTACAAATGATGGTTTCTCAGAGATTTTATTTTCTTTTAAGTCAAACTTCAGAAGCAGAATTCCTCATAATTAACCAAGTGAGCAGGTAAACTGTTGTTGCTGCATGTCGCTGACAGGTTCTGGTTAACACACAGAGAACTGAACAGGATAGCTGTTGTCACCCCTTAGCGCTGAAGCCCTGTGCCATTACATTTATAGATTTTCCCTGTGATGGGATAATTTGGTCTTTATATCTCTCACAAATGAAGTGATCCTCGGTGCTCCTTGCACAGCTCAGTGTGCAGGTCCCATTTTCAAATACAGTTAATTGCATTCGAAACGAATCAATGATACTTTGGCGGTGACAATATCATTCTTTTAATGTCACTTAATTTCTTTGGTGAAATAATTACATCAATAGCCTGGAACCCATTTCTATCTTTCAGCATGAATTAATCTATTAAAGGCAATAATTACACGTTTATAATGGATAGGTTTTTGCATTCAGAGGAAAATGCAGTCAGGTCTCCATTGTGTGCCTGGACGTTGGCACCGTCATGGCTGTCATTCATCCAGTTTATGAATTACACCAGAAATAAAATAAAAAATGAAAAGGTAGGTCTGATGCAGCTCCATGGTGGACTTGTTGTGCGTTAGCCCTCCCTCTAGTGGAGATGATTAGGAGTTGTTTGCCAGCCAGCTTTACGCACAGCTCCACACACCTGAAAGAGACAATGCTCACAAGAAAAGCATCACACCAAATGATTTTATTTATAGTTCCTAATACAAGATATTATAAGATTTCTTATTTATAGTCCTGTTTTGGGACAGTTTGGTATACTGAGAATAAAATCTGATCTCCATAGAGATCTTTACCACAAACTGGAGTCAGGTTTCAAACAGATTTATCTGCGTAAACACTTACAGCCAATTCAAATCACGACTACGTCACGTGCAAAGTCCTGTTACTTGATACAGTAACTGTGATCTTAGCAGGCAGACGCGACGCTGCTATTGTCCCTCTGACTTATTCATCAACAGTGGAAACTTGCCGACTGCCACGGGGATCGGCCTCTTTTCTGTCACCTACCGATTTCTCAGGTGAAAGCCCACCCACCAAATACCAGAGGAGACGAGAGGAGAGGCAGTGAGGTGAAAGCCACTGAAACAACTCACACAGCCGAAAAAACTCTAGAAATTAACGCTAAATTAGGAATAAAAGTGCCTACCCTTCATATCTGCTAGGATTTATCAGAAACCAACGGGGAAAAGTTGGCTAAGTTTGAAAATGTTGACCCAGCTCTCCAGAGTTTCTGCCGCCAGCCCGTGGATGTGTTTGTTTAGCCACAGGGCGCGTACCGGAGGAGGAGTTGACAGCGCGACCGCGGTGTGTGACTGTTAAACGGCGCGCGCAGACACACACAGCCACACCACCACTATACCACCACCACCTGAAGACGCCACCTCCACCGTGCGCTGTGTCCAGCCGGGGATGTGGCATGACTTGTCAGAGTAAGGTACACACATTCATCAGCATTTACACACATAAACGTTTTAAAATATACTCTTTTTTAGTTGATTTGATTTTAAATTTGCGCGCGCCACTAATTGAGACATGCTGCGCGTGCCCCCTGTTCCTCTGCGGAGCAGGCACGCAGTCCTGTTACCAATTCGATCATTTTAGGATTAAGTTTGGTGATTTTAACAGTTCAAGGCCTGGTTGTGTGTTTATTGAAGAGGAGAGGAGCTAGAAGAGCAACTTCAACCTGAACGTTCACCTTTATCGACATGACAGCTCAACATGTCCGTTTTCTAGTTCTTATAAGTTTTAACATTTTAAAAATCGTAAGTTATGGAATGTTTTCTGCTGTGACTTTCATTATATTTTCACATGTAAACAAACACACAAGCTAATTTAAGCTTAATGATTTGAGCTTTGATGCCACATGTTCGCCTGACTTAATGTTTTATTTGTATCTGATGATATTAGTAAATTATCTTTTTTTGGATATAAAATTTAATAATATTTATTAGTTTTAAGGCTTTGGCAGCCTAAAGGTTAAACCAAGTATTTTTAGTGTGCAGAAAAACATTCCGATTTTTCAGGTGAAATCAAGAGTTGCAAGTCTGACTTATGAAAAGTTTGAATATTGAAGCTGGATGTTTAATATTGTTGTATTTGACAAAACATCTAATTTTTGTTTCTAATCTTGTAAAATATTTTTATATTCACATTTTTATTTTAGAACACCCTAAAGCTGTTGATATGTCGTTTACTCCTCTTAAATGACTGAAAGGGACTAGCATCAGTCTCGAAACACTTCCTTCTTCAGCTTCTGGTTTTGTCACAAAGAGACCAGATGCTGCATGATCTGTGCCAGTGTCGAGGCACTGCTGCTGCACATCAGTAGGGCTGTGATGATCAATAGGGACTGCATGATGTTTTTGCATTGATTATAGAAACGTGAGCCAATGAATGGAACTTGATTCCTCTCCAGGGGTTATGCTGTTCCTGTTCAGCAGAGAAAACTGAAGAGCAGCAGGGTGATGCAACACATCTTTTTGCTCGAATCATCTGGTAGATCACCGCTCTTCTCCGCTTTCTCGTGTCTTTACCGAAGAAGCTGAGGACCGCTGTCAGACACCTTGTGAGTTTCTGAGAAGTGGGCAAGCTGCTGTTTCTTGCTTGACTCAGCCAAGTGTCAAGATGCCATGGTAAGCTCTGTTCTTATAATGTGGGGATACAGTAACACGGAGACCCTCGCTGACCGTGAAATGCTATCTGCATTCTCTGCATTCTTACTGAGCTTGATCAACATTGAAACACAGGCGGTTCTAAAGCCGGGGTTAGAGAAGACAGAGATGGATTTTCCGCTGCTTTAGAAGCTGAGGGGCTTCCAGAGTGTGAGTTATAGCTTGAGATCATCTCTCACAGGTGGTGATGGGTTCACAATGGTCCCTCACATGCAAAACCCCCCAAACGGAGCTAAACGACAGTTCAATAAGTGCATTTACTGTCCTTTTGTGCTTGAAAGCTATAGCTTTTAGAAAGTACTGCAGATGTACTCGACTGCGTGCTGGGACTTTCTGTGCTGATGTCAGATTGGATGAAATCTTGTCTTTTATGATAAAAACATCATTTTAGTCCAGGATATTCATGCATGGTGGCTCTCTGCGAGTTCAGTGGGTTTACTGAGAAGATTTGAATGCTTTTTAAAGTTTTTGTGTTTTGTCTTACAAATTGGCATAAATCATTGTGAGGTTAAAAAAAAGTACAAAAAAGAGATTTGTGTCATAAAAAGGAGTAGTTTAAAATGTATTATGTTAGCAATCAAAGAAATCTGTTTTTTCTGGATTTTTACTTTTTATTTTTGTTAATTCATCAAACTTGTATTTGAATTTGACTTAGCAGCAGTCAGAATTCTACGTATTGTTTTAAAACTGACGCAGAAACTTGGAGCTCTCTGAGTCACATCGCAGTGGTTCGTGTGATGGGTTGTTTTGTCCACATGCGTGCGTGAGCTGTGAGAGTTGTGCATCACGGAGAGCGTGAGCGAGCGCTCGGATCCCTCCTCCCTGGTGCTCCGCCAGCCCCTCTGTCGCTTTAAGTCCTGCCCCTCGGAGCCAGCCAACAGCAGCTGTTCCATATTCATCAAGCCCTTGAGTCTTAAAGAGCCCTATCCCGAGCATGGAAAGAGTCATTCCTCTCGCTCGCACTCTCATGCACTCTCCATCTTAGCACTCATCCCAGTGCTGCCTGCGCTTCTCTGTCTCTCACCCCCCCCTTTTACCTCTCTGTCTATCCAACCCTCCCTTCCCTCACCCTCCCTCTGTCTCTCTCGCTCTCTCTGGAACACACACACACATTCACTTACACACACTCTTTCTCTCTCCCACATACTCATCTATACATAAACACACATACACAACACACATGCGCACACACTCAATTCATCAGAGCCCCACATACCTGTGCAGGCTGGGGGGGAGCGGAGCTGGAGGGGCTTCTCGGCAGCGTTGTCTCTGAGGGTGCTGTGCCATCATTTGGGGGAAGAAGCCGGTCTCAGTTGTTTTCTCTTTCCTCTTCCTCTCATTCCTGGAATGCTAAAACTGGACTGATGGACATTTCTGAACTTTGTCTTCCAGACCCTCTCAGCTATCATAACCAGTAGGTGCACCTTGTTTCTCTTTCCTCCTTTCTGTTTTAACCCAGCTGTTGTCTTTTCCTTTTCTTTCATTCTGTCTTGATATCCCGCTCTTAAGTTTTCCTTCCCAAGTCTAGTTGCTGAACTTTTTTCCAACTGCACTGATTGGCTTTTACTTTTCCTGGAGCATCTTTACACCAACTCAATTTAAAAATAAAAAGCACCTTATTTTGGTTTTAGGGATTTAAAGTCACATTGGACTTGACTGAGCAGCAGGTGCACGATTTATTGTGTAAGCACATCATGTATGCTGCAATTTATGAGTCTCATCCAGAGCATGTCTGATTGATTTACCTCGCACCTCTGCAAAGCAAAGTCTGTATTTCCCTCCCCCCCCCCGTCCAGGTGGGTTAACAGCTTGTTAGCTGATTGTTGTTAGTGTCAACCGCCCAGGCAGATTGGGAATAATATTGCAAGGAGATAAGATAAACGGGATTGAAGGGCTACATTACACGGTATGATAGACATTTGTAAACAGGAAGAGAGGACTGGAAGCACCTTGGGATATCAGTGAGCCGCTAGTCTGACCCAGGCAGCGGCATGCAGGCAAGCTGCCGTCTCAACAGCCTCTGGCTGCTGGGAAAGTTAGAAAATCTCTTCTGAACATATTTAAATGTAAACAATTTACTTTTCATTGTGAGCATCGATCTATTTATTGTATAATTTTAGATGCCATAATTGTTATTTTATAATTAAGAAATTTAAACTAATGCATGAAGTAAAAAGTACGTTTAGTTTATTTTATGTAACTGTTTAAAAAAATTGAATTGTTTTTGTGATAAGTGGAAAACACAATGTTTCAGTCACCTAGTTTAAAAACAATCAATAAAGAAAAACTTTAAAAAATGACAGGCTTTGTTATAAATGTCTGATTTTAGGAAATTATCTTGTGATAGAATCTTTTATTCATTAATAATAAAACTTTAAGGTTTTCTTCTTGAAGACACTGATTTACATAAAAGATAATTCTGCAGATTTACACTTTGGTGAAGTTTGTGTTTCTCCTATAGATTATTCATGTATCGATTTTTTTTAATGTATATAAAACATAAATCAGTGAAGTAAAACATTTAAATTTTAAGTTGAAATGTATTGCTTTAATGCAAATCTATGACATTTAAATTCCCACTAAAGAGTAAATTCACACCACCTGATGATTTGTTGCCATGTTGAGAGATATGATCATAAAATATTCTGTTTAAAAATTATTTTACCTCATGTGCAGCTCTTGACGCATATTCGCTTTTCCTAATCTTACCAGATGGAAAATAAAACAGCAAAACCTCAGATTTTGTTGTCACTTTTCTATGTTTTTATTTGAAAAGCAGCTTTTTAACTTTAATGCTCAATTGATTGCAAAGAAATTCTAGTTCAGTTTCCAATAATTGGCGAATATTGGAATTAATGAATGTATGCAGATAAAAATTTCTGCAATTTTAAATAATGTTGCTCAAAAATTTAGAATTTTTTTCTATAAAATGATAAAGTAATAAAATCTATTTAATAATCACACACAAAAGCTTTGAATTTTTAATTTAATACTTTATTTTTGCTTAAGGTGTTCATAAAATTCAGTTAAAATGAAACATTTTTTACTCTAAAACAAATTCCTCACAGAATTCATCTTTTCTTCGAAAACTTATGTGCAGCTGTGTGTTTTATAAATAAATAATGCTTTTTACCGTTCACTTTGTGCAGGCTATGAATAACAAATATGCACTATAAAATATAATCTTTCCTAAATCAAGTAAAACATGTCATAGCTTTTTCCTGCAGGAATGATCTTGCTTATCAACGGTTTTTTCTGACAGATCCTAGCAATTCATCTTAATTTTTGGTCAGTTTTCAGCAAATTCTACTCTGGAATTTTTTTCCTCAGATCCACTTGAATCTGCGATGTTCGGAGGAAATTATTTCCACTCCATGTAATTAGTTCAGAGCTGTGTTGGAATTACTTTAGTTTAAAGTTAATCGACTCAAAGGTGTCTCCAGTGTCTGGGAATTGGATGGAAACTGTTGTTTTGTTCTAGACACACTCTCCTTGTTTGTTTAGAGATTGTCAGTAGGACTACAACACATGATCACATGGAGCTCTTGATCAAATCAGACAAAATAAATGTTTCTTTATTGCCACCAAGTCTCTCATTACGTTTCTATGTGTCTAAATATTACTTTGTTTAGCCGTGAGATTATGTGGGTGTGTGTGTGTTGAGAGTCTTGTATTAGGGGGTGCTCAGTTACACATTTTCTTTGAACAACAGCGAATTGAGATTTGATTTTTCTCATTTCCAAATGTTCCATCAGCACCCTTGTTTTCCTTAAGCCCCGGCAAAGCCACTGCAATAAACTAACAAGGCGATTCAATTTCCCTTCTTGAAATAAGAGCTTTTTAATGTATTTTTCGAGAGGCGGAAAGAAGTTAGCACACGGTGATGAATTAGATTTCAATTTATTTGACTTCATTCCCAGCTCGCTGCATTAGAGCCTGCAAACACCCATCTCCAGCAGCCTCGTCCACTTGATTCTTATTAGGTTTCAGAAAACAAGGCGAGGGAATTGCATTAGTGTATCTTAAGTTAAAAGCTCTTTGCTCTTTGACCAAGTGTTTCATTGTTATTGGGTTAATCAGATTTTTGCTGTCTTCATGGAGATGCTATCACAGGCTAGAGGCAGTGGTGAGTAACCAAAGCAGCCGCACACAGACACTATCCAGATGGGATCAGCTTACGGTAATTTGGTTTCAGAATACATTACCAGAAGAGCCTCCTGGACGAGGACGGCCACCCCACTGTGAGCCAGGAGCTGGTTGCCTCTGCAGCTCAGCCAGTCCCCACCTGTGCCCCCCCCCCCCCCCCCCCCCCCCATTTTCACGCAGCTTTTAGGCAGTTGTCAGATGTGTCATTTAAAGAGAACCTATTCTGCTTGAGCCGAGATTGTTGTCCAATTCTAAATACTTCTTCCTTGTATCAACAGGGCTTTGTTGTCCAATTCATTAGAGAGATTCCTGAGTCCAATGGCCACGCTGGAGCACTCTCATTTCTGGTATTTAGTATCATTACTCTTACTGTGAAACTGTCACTGAAGGCTCTAGAAGCCTCTCTGTAGTTGCTCACTGTCCTTTAGGTTCAGAGATCTTCAATTTGACCGATGTTAGTCTGGTTTTGGTTTAGAAAGAGCAGATGATGCTCGGTTAAGTCTTTTTAAAACAACAGCCAGAAAAATATAAATCTGAGCTAACCTCGTCACGCTGATGGTTAACTTTCCCCTTTTGATGGTTGAGCAACAAACCTCACCACTGATTACGTGTTTTCATACCAACAGAATTCATGTTTAATTTAGGAATATCCAGTGTTGCCATAACAAGCTATCTCTTGAGATGTGTGTGTGTGTGTTTGCATTTTACACGTCTTGGTGATTACCCACCATGCTTACTTGACTATTTCACAACACCCACCTGCATGGAAACCACCAAGCCATCGCAGCACGTGCCTCCCCAGATTTCTTGTCCATGGTAACCTTGGACACCTCCGCCGCAGTGTGAGAATCTGTTTAAAAATAACCAGGTCCATTAGTCTGGATGGATAATGCTAGCGTATGTGGGCTCTCATGCCCTTGTGGCAGCAGAGTGCTATCACTGACACGTTGCGTCAGCACTTCTTCCTGTTGCTCAGACGCTGAAGGGCTCCTTTTGATTCACTCACACATGCAAGTGTGTAGGTAGTCAAACACACAAACACGAGAGAAAAAAAACAGGGGTTTGATTATTACATAAGAGAAGTTGTTTTGTTATTTTCTGTGTTTGGGCCAAAATTCGGTTTCTGTAATTCACACTTGGTTATGAGATGTGACTTAAGGTGGGTAACCATATGGGTGTTTATCAGAGAAGGCTATTGGTATTGAGCGGTCAGTTGTTTGAAGGTTATGTTTCAGAGCGGTAATTGAAATGCAAAATAACATTAGGATCGATGGTTGGCTTTGTTTATTTATGAAATCAATATTGAAACCGTCTGTCACAGTAGCAGCTCTGATTCTCGCTGACAGCTCCATCAAGTCTTCTGCTCTGGGCCTGAGTAAGCCTTGGAACCATTAGAGGAACCGCACATTTGGTATTTTTAAGCTTGTTTTTGTCGTCACACTTCCCAAACTTAACTTGTTTGCTGTTTTATGAGCGTGCTGTGATTCATGTTTCATATCTGTGCAGGAGATTGACCCAGAATTATGCGTGAGCTATTAAAGAATCTGGATCCAGATGTTGGGTGGCATCCCTTGCAAATCTTTCAGTAGAGCAAATATAAAAAGTGAACTTTCAGTTAAATTGATGTCAGGTTTCTGAGTGTGAGCGTGTGTGTTTGGCTCGTGTGTGTCTGTGCTTCCCTCTTGGTCACAAAACATGTTCACATTAAAGTCCTCCCTATGAAATCACCCCTGCAGTGCTAAGTGGAATCCAGCGGTCACACTGAGTGACTGGCTGTTGAACCTGTGACACCAGATGTTGTGAACTTTGCGTTCAGCCTCCCCATCAAAGGAGACATGTTAATTCAGAAATCAGCCCCAAAGTTTAATTATTCCTGAATGCTGGCGGACACTGGCATATAAATCAGTTAGGCCCACCCGCCTTTTTATTACCGGCACTATTTATAGACAATATGTGGCAGCTGGTAGAGATGAGCCTGTAAAAAGCTAGAGGCTATTGCTGTGACTACGTCGACTGCTGCAGCGTGCGACAGTCATAACAATAGTTTTTTTTTTTTTTCACTGAGATAAATTTATCATGGAGTTGTTTGGAATGTGTGCTTCAAACTACATTTAAATGTGGGAAATGAAGTTGCCTTTTCCACCGTTTGAAAACGTCTCATCATTTAAATGGTTCCTGTGAGCCAGGATTACACAGTCACTGTCAGCCTTTGCAAACATTGAAACGTCTGATTGTGTATAAATCACCATCTGATAAACCTGCAGATGCTGACCAGTTAAGTTTTCACAGTTTATTTGTGTGTGTGTGTTTGTGTTTTTATGTTTGCATCTTCTTCTATAAATGAGGACAATTTATGGGGAGGAGGAGGGATTGGCGCTTTGTTTTAGGCAGGTAGAACCCCCCCCCCCCCCCCCCCCCCCCAAATACAAGGACGGCCTATCAGAAGAAGATTAATGAAGTAATTTCATGCATGGCTCTATGCCTCCTACCCCCTGTATGCACAGTGACTGTGTCTAAACCTGTGATTTACATTCCACTGTGTTAAATAGCCTTAACCTGCTGTAATAATATTTCTCTGTTTGTGACACACACACACACACACACACACACACACACACACACACACACACACACACACACACACACACACACACACACACACACACACACACACACACACACACACACACACACACACACACACACACACACACACACACAGTCAGGAATATCCCTCAACTTCTTAATACAGGGAGCAGCTCCAATCCTGACTTTTAGGTATTTATTTTACAGTTGGTGAATTTTTTTAAGTGCATTTTATTAATTTTGAGTAAAGATGCTTTAATTATGGCTCTGAGGGCCGATTCTGATTGTTGATTCTTGCACAGGTCTGACTTGCTAATACTGATTTATTTAATACAAAATTAATGAACGGAAAGTGTTTCTCCAATTTCTGAATGACATGATTATTCTGAAAGTTGAAATTTCCACATGGAAAATCTGTCATAGTTGGTGCTTGGTGATGGTGAGTTCACTGACCAGGAATATGTCAGTTTATTTTATTGCTACCAGGTAATGATGCATTCACAGAACAGGAAAACAAAACCCTATCAGCTATTGACCCCTTAGGACAATCGTTATGAAAATTGTCTGATTCCAACTTAGGAAGATGCATCATAATAAGAAAAAAAAATATCTCATCAGTCTGAATGACGTCTAATTTATACTTTTATGCTGAAATGTGTTGCAGAAGAATCCAAATCAAGCATTTCATTTCTTGATTTTCAACTGTGGCAAATGAATTAGAAGTTTTCAAGTCAAGTGACAACACACAAGCTAATCAGCTCTAAGGTGTGTGTGTTCAGGTCTGAGGGCATTGTTAATCACACTATGCTTTGCAGGAAACATCTTTTATTTGGATTTTTTTGTCACCTGACTTTAATTACTTCCTTATAGATTCCAAGAGCCATTGTAAATTTGTTGCTGAATTAAACCATGACGGTGCTGCATAATGGACCTAATGGAAACTAATCTTTTCTTAATGAAAAGGCAAAATTAGAAATTTGATCCCAAATGTACTTCTGGAATAATCCCTGAACTTCCTTTTTTGTGATGAAATTGTCTAATTCTGCAGAGAGCTTTTCCTTGTGGTCTGCAGAGATGATTAACTCCTTGCTCTCCATGCTTGTGCACTCCCCCTCCCTTCCACTGACAGTAGCGCTATCATTAGCCACTTACTTCCTTCAACATCCTGAAATCGGCCCCTCTGAAGAACCAGATCTTCCCACTGCGGCCCAGACAGTTTACGTCAGACATACGGCAGCGCCCGCATCACCAGAGGCCCTTTCTTTTCTGCCAGCAGCATCTCTTGAACAGGAAGGAGCGGGAGAGGGATCAATAGATGTGATCTGCTTCTTGGCCGGCTCTGTGGTGGTGCTGCCGGAGCATGTGGCTCATGTTGTCATAGCGGAGTGAGCTCATAGCTTTATAAAGACTACAATGACATAGCTGTAAAGCAGCTAAATATAATCCTCTACTGCAGCCTTAAAACTTAGTCACCCAGCCTGCAGAGCGGCGTGGCCTCTCTAAATGGTAACCCTGCACCAAGTCCCTGGCCTTATTGATCTGGGGACCCTCAAGTCTCACTGTAACGATAAACATTACACTTTCTTTTCCTTTCCTTTACTTTTCTTCATGCATCTTACTTTCTCTTTCCCACACTTCCTGTCTTTCTGCCTCCTTGTCTTCCCTTTTGTTTTCCTGTGCAGATCCGCACATCATAAATCTCTGTCAGCTTCTCCGAAGGTGTCTGGCATATCTGTTAATAGAGAGGCCCCTCCCCTCTCCTCAGGTCCACCCCCCACCCCTCTCTCAGTCATCTCTCTGCCGGAGCAGGACTAATGAATGAGAAACTCCAAAATTAGAGGCCTCTTTGTCATAGATTAGAATTGGTCCCTCTGGAGTGCCGGGTTTGCCTTCAACCCAACCACAGCCGTCAACCAACCATCCTCCCCCATATATCCATTTTTCATCTTCTGGCTTCAGCACAAACACACACTCAGACTTGAGATAATGCACAACACACTCACACACACCCAAGAGTCTTTTGGCCTCATATTCCCATGATGGTTATTAACCTGAAACTGCAAGAAAAAAGCTTCTTCCACTGAAGTGTGTTTTGGAATCCACACCAGAATCACCACAACTTCTTCCACGAGCTTATTTCCCTTTTTGAAATGTACATATTCCCTTGTGAGAACACACGTGGACCACCTCAGGTGGCAGGCAAGCTTCTAAATGTATGTTTATGACTTTACCGGCACCGTGCAGATTTTGGTCTCTGTTCTTCCCAAAAATGGGTCCCTTGGCTGTGTGTTAGCGCGCTAAAAGGCAGCAGTGGCCCCCAGAGGAGAGGTCAACACAGCAGCTGCTGGTGGGTCTGGCTGTGGTGGGGAGGCTGAGAGGAGGTCTGTCAGGAGCTAATTGAGTTCGTCCTACCAGCGCTGACTCTGGGGCCAGTGGCTTATCAGGCCACATCGCCTCAGGCCTTCAAGACAGATTTGCCCCTACTGGGGCATCTGATATCAGCATCACCTCGCTTTCAGATGTCAACCCCCGCCACCATCCACCTTTTCTCCTCGCTTACAGTCTGATCAGGAATGTGATGCTCATGGGTTGAGGTGAGCAAATTATGTTTTTGGCTTCTGCTGGTATTACGAGTAAAACTGTGAGATTTTACTCACTGTCGGAGCAAAGTTTCAGGAGCAGCTTTGGTTTAAACATGAAACGACGAGCGTGCTGAAGTTACTCAGAGGGGGAAGGGAGTGCGTTTCGGATGAGGGATCGACCCGATTAGATTCTAAATTCTACAACAGTGTGACCTGAAGTTCGTAGTTTGGCTTGCAGGTGAGAAAATGTTGAGACGAGGAGAATAAGAGCTCTACGGTTCTCCTTAAGGGAAGTCGTGGAATTGCGAGTGTGGGACGAGCTGCCAGATCGTTAGGCCAGCTAATCCTGGTCACAGCAGCACTGCTGGAATGATATTAGGGATCTGAAATGCTGTTAGGCGGACCAGGTGGAATCAGATTAAAACCAAACTGCGCAGTGTGCGTTTGCAGACCCATAACCTACTACTCAGCATGAATTTTGATCGGTACAAAGGGAACAAAAGGAGGAGGAACCGGGGGGGATACTGTGTCTTAGAAGGGAGCTGTTCCTTTGGGCAGCCAGGCAGCAGAATTTGAAAAAGCTCTTACCTTGAGGAAGGAAGAAAGAACTATAGATTTTACAGCATCAAGTCTCAGATAGTTCGGCAAACCCTTTCCTGTCTGCTCTGTCTGCGTAGCACATAAGCTAATTACCACCTGCCCCGCACACTGAATTATTTATTGGAACTATTGCTGCTGTCAAATCATTTAATGCTCATAATTCATTTTGCTCATATAATTGTATTTATAGATTTAAATTGGACCTGTCTTATTAGAGATTACGAATATTTATAGAAATATTTTAGGCTATTGATTAATACACTAGGTTTAAGTGGTTAGCATTTCCTCCGTGTCATTAATCAGTATAAGCAGGCCTGTTAAAAACATAAGCATAGTGGTGGTGCTAATGTGTCATATCAGAATGAGTTAAGGGTATTCTGGCTAGCACATTTATTATAAATGACCACATTGAGCTGGAGGGGAAACAGTTAAAACACTTATGCAATTATGCTAAGTGTCACCCTGAGGATGGCCTTTGAACCGGGGTTAAGCTTACTCTGAATTTGTGAAATAAAAGCTAAATGGAGCCATCTTGTGCTCCTACGTTTTAACATATCATCTTTAATAAGCCAAGTGCAGGTGGCCCATCGTGCAGGTGCACATATCCATCTGAAACATGGAGCGTAAAGCAGATGAACACAGGTTTGTGATAATTTATAGGGATGCAATCTGCATTCATTATTGATAGCAGTGAGTTCTATTTTGAAATGATGGTGCAAAGAGTCGATGAAGGATTATCTGCATTGTTCAGTTTAGGAGTAATTGAGAAAAAAATGTCCAAGTTGGATCTTAATTTTTCCAAGGCAGAATGAAGGTTGTGTGTTCATTTTTATACAGTGAAGATTGGAGGCAGGATTCCAGGACTGCTCGTGAGCGAGGGCTTATTCCACAAGGTCAACAGTTTTAACAGGGGACACTTTTTATTATTTATTTTAGCAGTTAACCTTTTTGTGAATTTCCAGAAGTGGTAGTCACTCAGAGCTCCGATGAATATACATGACAGGAGGGGAGGGAAACCCAGGAATGAGATTTAATTTGACACGCTGACCCCCATCTCCACAGGCTCGGGAAGGCAGGGTGAGAAAATAAGGTTGACCCACTGACCCCTGGGCCTGAACCCCTCCGTCACCCATCCTCACAATTAAATCAGCCTGAGAGAGCAGGGAGATGTCCGGCCAACCAATAGGGGCCACTGCAGTTGCGTCCTGTCACTTTCTGTTTGTTCTGAAGAGCTCCGAGATGGACAGCTGTGGTTTAATCACACTTACAGCCCAATTGGAAACACCAACCCCTCCCGTTTCTGATGGTAAACTGACTTATCAAGGATGTAAACATTAACATAAGTTGGCAATATGCTAATGGTACTATAGCACAACTTGGGTTGTCTAGCTGCCGCTCCCTCAGAACCTCTGTATCTACATTTGCATAAGCCATGCAAGGCGCAATTTAGCTAATGCAGGCAAGTGCAAGCACTCTTTCACCCTCTCCGAGGTTCCTAATTCAAACGGGTGTGTGTATACGTTAGCATGTGACCTCGCCTTAACCCTAAGGGGTTACTGTGTCTGCACAGCATCCCCGATACACTGAGTAATTCATTTCCTCTCCTAGTTCACTTCTTCATTTCACTCAATCGGCACAAAGAAACGGCACTGGGTCCAGTCGCACCCCCCCACCCCGCCTCTCTACCGTCCACCCACTGTTCACTCAGAGCAATTTCAAGTTAAAGGTTATAGAGCAAGACTGAAATACATTTATATGGGCAAGGAAGGCTTCAGAGTGCATTTTGTGGCCACATTCAAAAGGCTGCACTTTAGTCTGCACACGTTACAGCATTAGATTACATGTACTCCAAAATATAGTTATTAGACAGACAGTGAAAAAGTCAATATCTTGCCATCATGTTTCCTTTTGGATGACTGCTGACTGAAGGAGACAAGCCAACGTCCGCTGTGCTCTTTAAACTATTGAGATGCCCCCATCTTCGTGTGTGTGTGTGTGTGTGTGTGTGTGTGTGTGTGTGTATTAGGTTATTTGAGAGCGCTTGCCGTCTGTCCCTCTGTCTCTCATTCCCATCCACTTCCCTCTTGTCCTGTCGTGTTTGTATTGCAGGTAGTGTGTGTGTGTAGATATTTGTGGAGCAGTTGTGTGTATTTGTTCTCTGAAGGACTTCAACAGCTGCCGTAGTGTCTAGGGGTGGGAATTTTTAGGCTCCTCACGATTCGATTTGATTGCGATTCAGAAGGTCGCGATGCGATTATAAAATGATTATCGGTGCATCTTTCACACCGCCTCCCCTCCTATCTGTCTGTGTACTGTTAAAGCAGCAATGTTGTTGCTCAGGGGTCCAAAAATAATTTACTTTCAATAACTTCTTAGTGACTTAAAAACTCTTTGCTGATTTGAAAATGTAGCTTTCATTTGAAAATGTTTGTGGGCTTCATCTTATTCTGAGGATTCTGACCAGCTGCCCTTAATAAGAAATATCGAGTGTAAGACCTCTCAAATTTAAATATTGACTCCTGATAAAGTGTAAAATACCCAGACCAAAAATAATATGAATAAATGCATAGATAATATAGAAAGTTCTGTAGCAGAGGAGGTGAATTCATTTAGACACAGAAATTCATTTCAAATGAAGAACCTTAATAACATTCTTCGTTTGATTTAATGATGAATTAAGTTCATTACATCTCCTTGAAGTCCCAAACTTAAGCAGAGCCAGTTTCTTACAGATAGAGAACTGTTTTAGGTTGTTTACTTCCTGCGCATCAATAAAAACAAAGGGAAAACTGTTTATGATAACGTTAAAACTGATCAACACTTCTGACTCTTATGCAGAAAGATGCAGAATTTCTTCTAAACAACTTTAATAGTTAGAGATCAACCGTTGCTCGAGTCTTGGGCAGACTAATATAGGTTTAATCCTACTCTGTTCACCAAGCTACAGCAGCAGAGAGGAGAGAGGGGTTAAATCGAGCGAGACACTGCACTTCCACTGAGGAGGAACAGTTTTGACACACCGGTCTCAGTTCATCATATGCTGTGAGATTTCTTCATAGAAACCGTTTGGCTGAAGGTGCACTTGGGGTTCTGTTTTCCTGTTTGATGTAAATTTGAGGACATCACTATTTTAAAAAAGGTGTAATAAAACTATCATCAACAGGAATTTGAATCTTCTCAGTGGACCCTGTTTCAAATCTCCCTTTTCTTTCTCTAGACGTGAAAATCTGTGCATGATTTATTCCTGAAACACGTCAGATTATTTGTAAAATATTACAAAGAAATGGCAACTTCCACCCTAAATGTTTAAAACCCTTTTGTTAAGGTAAAAAAATTAGACAATCATTAATCAGTAATAATATTTTTGTTGAGTTTTTCACTTTACACCTTATTTCTGATCATCTTTCTCTTTCTCTCCTCCTTTCCCCATCACCCGTCTCACTCCTCCTCCAGGCTGCTGAATAGAATGGCCGCTGATGAACGGCATCTACCCTCCAGCTGTGGGTCCTACATCAAAACTGAGCCATCCAGTCCCTCCTCGGTCATCGACACAGTCAGTCACCACAGCCCCAGTGGCAACTCGGACGCCAGCGGTGGCTATGTCAACACCATGAACAGCCACTCGAACGGCCTGGACTCTCCGCCCATGTTCACCCCCAGCGGGCTGGGTGCCGGCTCCTGCCGCAAGCGCTACGACGACTGTTCCAGCACCATCATGGAGGACTCGTCCATAAAGTGTGAATACATGTTGAACTCCCTCCCCAAGAGGCTGTGCCTGGTGTGTGGAGATATAGCCTCGGGGTATCACTATGGGGTAGCTTCTTGTGAGGCCTGCAAAGCCTTTTTTAAAAGGACAATACAAGGTACTTTTCTCCTGTCACCTACTACCCCAGCAAACACTCAGTACAATTTTCATTCCATGTTGCCACAAAAAAACCTGCATGCATAAAACTACGGGCCTGGAACACACTCAGCCATTAAAGAGCAAGTCACCCCCAAATCAACTTTTTTTTTTGCTGATAAACTAAATAAACGAGTGTCTAATCGTGCTGCAGACACGTGTAGTCAATAATTCGGCACTTCAGTGCATCTTAGTTAAAATTTAAATATCTGCTTAAAACTGTCAGTGTTGTGCCGTTGTCAGGTAAAAACTCTGCACTGTATTTGAATTTAAAACTGCCACCGCTATTGGCTAAGAGGTATGCTATGATGTAAACTGGTACATTATGGTGTCACAATGCTGTTGTGAACCTGTGTGTGTGTATTTGTTAGCGGCTCCGCCCTCTCGGTCTGCTAGGCAACGGCATTTGTTGCATTTTTCAAACATGAAGTGGGAGTGGAGTTAGAATCTGGTAGGGGGTGACTTGCTCTTTAAATACCACCAAAAGTCATTTTGATCTCTGAGACAAGTAACTAAGGAGAGACAGTCTTTGTTTTGTTTATATTAAACATTCACAAAGCAGAGTGGGACAAAAACACATTATTTATTTTTAAAACTTTTAGATTTTTGACGCAGTGCAAAAAATAAAATCATCACATTTAGATAATCTGCTATGATTGTTCAGATTCATCATGGAATGGTGGCTGTTTGATCAGACACCCACACGTGTGTGTGTGGGGGGGGGGGGTATGTGTGTTCTTTGAAACCGGTGTGACTATGTGCATCGTGGCCTCATTATGGAGGCAATGAACCCCCACCCCCCCCACCCCCCCCCCACCCCACTGTGAAACTGTCTCTGCTCCAGATTAATCAGGAGGATGAAGATATTGTCGGAGCCTTAAAAACATTCAGCCCAACAGGCACAGCTGCTTCGGACTGATCTCTGCTGGTTTATTAGGAGAATGCTGGAAATGATGAATAAAATAACTTTGCATATATTTGAATTACAGTTTTCAAAAGAAAACATAGATTTGTAGTTTCAGCACAGATGATTACAGCGTTCGAAAAAAGTCAGCAATTTTCTTTAAATCAGCAAACGATTGCAGGAATTACATGCAGAGCAGCCGGCCTGTCTTGATGCTAGGTGTTGATTTTGGACCCTGCAGCCCTATCAGCTTTAGACAGTCTATGTACCTTTTGCAGGCAAACACGAGCATTAGGCCAAATCCTCACGTTTACTCATGCTGCCATCAGCAATCCTGTCTATTGACAAAAGATGAACAGTTTCTCCCAAGTAACATAACTGAGCCTTTGTCCCCTCAGTAAAAGTACACTGACAGCAACACAATTGAACACTAGGAAAGAAAAGAGACATCTTAAGTGGAGCAATCGCCCAAACAATTAAGAGCAAGGTACACGGAGGAAAAATTGAAAGCTCCTCTTTTTTTCCATCTCCTCACTTTGCATTGTCGATTTGAAATCCCTCTCTTTCTCTTCTTGGAGGGCTGCCTGTAATGGAGCTAATCTGCCGTCGTTTGTCCGAGCCACAGGAGTTTTGTCAATAACAATCAGCGTTTGGAAAGTGTAATTAAGGCCGAGGCTTTTCATTAGGAGGAAGGGAGGGGGCCGTCTCCAGGGACGGGCATGCCAATTAGAAACTCAGGCACGCGTCGCCGGGTAATTTCAGGGAAAGGAGGGGAAAAAACCAGGACTTCTTTAGATTGGAGAGGGACCCTGCTGCTCTTTCAGAAGAGAGGAGGAGAGGCTTAATGGCATAATAATCAGACAGGGGTCCCGAGCAGTGGAGGCAGGAGGACGGAGGGACTTTTTTAGGGGGGAGGTGAAAGCCTTCTGAAATGATAAAAAGAAACACGCGTAGGATTGCTGGAGGAAAAAAGCGGGCAGTAAATCGCTCAATGAAGAGGGAGCCCTTGAAAGAACGAGAGGGTGCTGTTGATGAGAACTGATTAATTAAAGGAATAACGAGGTAGTCAAGGGTGGAGTGTGTTTCGGCCCACTCTAATGAGAAGAAAACAAAGGAGCTGTCTTTCCCAGGCCTTTATCACATTTCTTCGATAGCACTCGGGGCAAACATGATAAGTTAATGTTAAGCATGCACGTGACCGTTTCTTCATCACCTTGTGCCCTCCTTGTGATGCAACAACTTCAGTTCTGTGTAGCAGATCTGCACTTTGGGATATTTGAGTCTGTATTTTGAATGATCACACAGATTTATGCATTTATTTTTTGAATTACCCTCAAATACAAGTCACTTCCCATCTGGCCTCCAACCTTTAGCTGACGGCAGACGTCCCTTCCTTCTTTCAACGAAAGCAGATCCGTCTTCTGTCACCTATTCATACAGTGGAAAGCCCCTTGAACTTATATGTGGGATAGTTGCATTAGTCAAGGCCAAGTCCAAATTAATGTCAGCCTTTATCTCTATCCATCCCTCGTTCTTGTTGCTTCCTCATCATCATCCATCCCTACGTCTCACGTGCTCCACCAATCAGAAACATAAACGCTTTATTGAACTGTGTTTTCTTCCCATTTTGAACCCAAGTGTAAAATTGCTTGAAAACCAACTGAACTCGGTGGCCCTCTTTTATGTGAAGTAATAGACCTTGACAGTAAGCCTGTAAAAGTCAGTTTAGATTTTGATGAGAAATACTTGCCATTTTACTGTAATTTACTTACAAGACCTGACTTTCCCCTCTGTGCCCTGGCATGGGTCCTGAAAAGCCATAAAATAGATTGAGACAGATACTTATCAGGAGGAAAAAGGAGGGAAATCTTTTTCTTCTCCTTTCACCTTGTAATGTTACGGGTAACCGTACCAGAGCCTCTCTGAAGACAGATCAACCTGTTCGCGACTTTTGGGTTAAAAGGGTTCCAGTCGGTGTGTTTCATTTAGTGAAGGTGAAAATTTGTTTACACATTATTCAGAAATAGTCTACCTGGCTATTTCTGAATAATGTGTAATGTATGTGCTTCTTTGACTTTCACACGTGAATCAGGATGTGTTTAAACTACTGAGAAATAAAAATAACCATTTGTTTATTGTACTGACTCAACCCCTTCAGTTTTGAGGTAGTTTCAGTCGAGTGCGTTCTCAATTCAAAGGAATCGGTTCATTTAGCTGAAAATAGGAAAGATCTTAAAGCTGTTATAACGAATCTGCGAGTACTCAAGGTTTTGAACGCAAACACGGTCACGGACCACTCACCCCTCTGCTCGGGTATCTTCCCTGAGACACTTCTGCCGGAACTGGAGACCTGCGATGCCAGATGATACGAGATGTTGCTAAACACCAGTCGCCGTTTTCTGGATCCAGACGTCTTAACCGTTACTTGAAATAGTGTTTTTCTTTTTGGGACATTTTGTAGTAAAGTTGAAATGGTTGCAGCCGGATGTTTCTCCTTCTCTGATATTACTGAGCCGTGAACCTCTCATGCCACTGGTGTTCTGTTGGTAAAGGTGGATGTGTAATTATTGGAGGACTCGGGGAATTGCAGCCGTTCGGCAAGACGACAGCCAGGTGGTCCAATGCTTTCAGGCAATATTGGTGCAGGTTTTTAGACAAATGTGAGAAAACCACTTTATTAATTTTTATGTCCTCCGCAATATAATTATAAAAATGCTACATTTGGAATGTTAAAAAGCAAAAAAAAAACAAACTAAAATTTTCATCTCATTTGTTGTCCAAATTTGTAATCGCTGCTTTAATAAAGCTAAATAACTACTTATTAAAACAGACTTTATAAAAGTTTCAAGATTTCAAGCTTCTCTTCATATTTGAATGGTGGACTCGACCCATATTTAGATAAATCACAAGAGTTTTATGTTCATTTGAATACAAACCGAGCCAGATTAGTATGAGTTTATGGTGGTTTTCAGGTGAGACGGTGTGTGTACTGATATCAAAACACTCCCTGCTCTAAAAATAAATCCAGTGCAGACCTGAATAATCAGCTAATCCACCGATTGCTCTGCAGTGAGCTTTTAATATCCAGATCTGACAGGACATCAGATGTCTGTGACGTTTGACAGGACATGTGAACATGTCCCTTGCATCCGTAAGAAAGAAGGAGAGAGAGATGAAGAATAACTATTCTTCGCTCTGCCACATAACATGTATGGAGACCTCAAATACATAAATACGTTTTCAACATTTATTTAATATTTATGATAGTCAGCCATTAGTTAGTGCACATGGACAAACAAAAATGACTGAAGGATTAAGTCCTTGTCCAACGCCCCTGATTGCCTACTCCCAGCTTGCAGGAAATGAATTGGATTATTATGGTCTGTCCTGCTATGACAACAGAGAAAAACAGACCAAGTGAAGGCAATCAGAGCTCATCAGCTGCCTCTTTTACACCTTTATTTACCCCAATCCCGAAGAGATGATGAGAATTAGCATAATGATTTCTAACCCAGATAAAAGGAGGAATTTCTAATTATTTATAACATCTTGGGACCCTCCCCCTTGATCTGTCCAATAATGTTGACATAATTGCATAAGTTGTCAAAGGGTGTTGAAGGGCTAGTGGAAGAACGCTGGTGGAATATTTCTCAGGTTATCTTGCAGAAAAGGTGGGCTAAGGGTCAGAGCTGCAGATGCTGGGATGCAATCCGGACGCGTGACGGTTCCTCAGCAGAAACACACACCAGATGCAAAGCTGTCATTCACCAACAGGCTGAAATGTGTGTCATTATAGTTTTTGGCTTGTGGAAAAATATACTTCACAAATTATAATGATTAACTCAGAATAGGTGGTGAAAAAGACAAAAGTTGAGACAAATATCAATGTCAAAAGCTTTAAGCTGAAAGCTCACTCGGCTTCCTGGGCTTCAAGCAGCTATTATATAAAAGCCCTGTATTGAAACCCACTGAATACTGTTAAATGTAGGGAGCCAGGACAGAGACGGGACTCTCATATCCTTTTTTATTCCTAATGCTAGAGCAGAGTAGGCTCTTTTATTGTGTAGCAATGAAACTCTTTTTCAAGACGCTGCAGCTGAATAATGCATACGACCTCTTGTCTGTATTCTATGTAAACAGTCAACAATAGCAACAGTGGTAACAACAGGTTTGGGGTCTGCAGGAGTGTTATGTAAAGTGGTCAGGGGCGGCGTGTACGGAACTCAAGCCAGCTATTGAGGCCACAGCAGACCCCTGTGAGTGCAGGGGGACACGGCCAGTGCCGGGGCCTGGAGGGGACATGTGCAGAATTAATGAGGCCAATTTAGTGCTTGACCAAAGTGGGACCTACTGAGCTGTCCTTAAGGACCACTGTGGCTTTCACCCTGCCCCTCTACACTTTGACCCACCTCCTCTCCAGCTGTAACTGGAAGATGCTCACAGGAAGGCACCTGAGCTACCTGGATTTTAATGGACGTGCCGGTGTCACAGGCAAAATTGAATGTATTACTTTCTTTTCAGTGGTCACTAAAACCTGCCATTGTCATTGCATCCATTTTGTTGTTAGGACATTCCTTTTTAATGAGTTATAGTTGCCAACCTGTTTCCCTCTTTCCTGCTCAGGTAACATAGAATACAGCTGTCCTGCCACAAATGAATGTGAGATCACAAAACGGAGACGCAAATCATGTCAGGCCTGTCGCTTCATGAAATGCCTCAAAGTGGGGATGCTCAAAGAAGGTAAGAAGAGTAAGAACATTTTTTTTATTATTCTAACACCCACATGTGCATGAACATTTCCACATTTTTCTTTGAGGATAATTAAGTCCCAGATTGTTGCAGCAATCAGTCCCAAGCTATTTCTCACTTGCTCCGCTGCAAAGCCCCCCCCCCCCCCCCCCCCCCCACCCACCCACACAGCAGTAAATAATGTGCAGTTGACCTGGGGACAGAAATATGCTGAATTGGTTGCTCCTGCTTTCTGAGTAATAGAAATGTAACAGTATTCCAGCTGGAGAGGCTCACGCCGGGTCCCTCAGCACACACGCGCCACAGTCTCGGCTCTCCCTGGCATATTGATCCACTAAATGTTTTCCGAAGCGATCTTCCTGTGAATGGTTTTTTAAAGTCACGCCAGCAGGGAATTCAGTGACAATTAAACATGCTTCAGATGGATTTGTCTGGCCATGGTTTTTCTCTAACTAAATATTGCCACTAACTAAAATCCCTCTGAAACCCCGAGTCTTTTGTAATTTTTTAGGGGAAGCACATTTTTTTGTCTTAGCGTCGTAGCTTCATTATGCAACCTTAGTCTGCTCTTTTGTTGGCTGCTAGAGGCAGATATTTAATAAAATACATCTAACTTCAACATAAAATAAATGTTAATGGCTCAAGGTTTTTTTAATAAAACGATCAAAACATTTGAAATCAATCGATGAATTTCAATCTCTGGCCTAACCGTTTGAATTTTTCACTCGGCCTGTCAGTAAAACTAGACTGTAATCCCTAAAATCATTTTTCTCTTTATTTTTTCTTAAAAATCCCAATTATTCAGAACTTCTTTCAGTGAGGCACTGCAGTGCAGAGACTCGTCCAATTGTTCTGTCAGAGAGACTGGCATGCTCACGTTACATCGATCCATCCTTTCTTAATGTACAGAAACACGAGCAGAAAGAAGTCTCTTTGGGTATGCTGCCCCCCCCCCCCCTCCCCCCGGCTGATAAAATCTGACACCTATTTGTCTATAGAACATTTGAAAAATAACAGTTTTTTTGTTGTTGGAGAGAATAAAGAACTCATGGTTCTAAATATATGATAATATTTTTCATATATTTTAAGTTTATTTTATTCTCTTGCTACAAACTTGAGTGCATATTTGCATGTGAGTGCTACTCGAGCTACAACGACTTCTTATCTTTGACTTTAAACACATACAACAGAAAAATATGATGACATAATCAAATTTGTGCCTTTTCTTAACTACAGATGATTGTCAGGTGAGACGCATGTTGTGCAAAAGCAGAAATGTCCTCCTAAGCAGCAGAAAAACACCTTTAAAATCTTCCACTTATAGATTATCCACCAGACTCTGAGCTGAAAGTCCCCCATTCTTCCTCCCATTATTCTCCCATTGGAGAGCAGGATTTATAGATGCATATAGATGCAGCCACCACCTGAATCCAGAGTTGTAACCTGTATGGGTCCTCACACAGTAACAGAATCCCTCGGACTGCGTGCAGCCAGATAAAGCCTCAGTGCCAGAAAGACGGAGTAATCGCATTACTATCTGATGAAAAATTTATGCCAATATATCATCCTGGAGAATAAGAGACTACAAAAATATGTGGCCACAGCTATAAATGAATGACCAGTGTCAGGTCAAAGTAAAAAGAGTGTAAAACTCAAATATGCACACTTTGACAAAGCCTTGTGTTCTTCTGGGTATTCAGCAAAATACCAGAAGGAGAATTAGCTCTTCTCTTTTAAATACCTCTCCAATGCTAAGCTAGTGATGCAGTCTTTATTCTAAATTTCTGATTTAGTCACAGTTACCTAAGATATTCACCAGAGATGTGAAGCATATTTACATTTTAGCACTTTAAAGAGTCCCTGAGACTAAATGGAAAGAAAAACACAGTCTGTGACCGCTGTAAGCTCCACGAAGCCATCGGCTCAACACTGTGCCCGGTCTCATGATGAGGAGATGTTCATGTGACGGAGGATGCCGCTTACTTTCATTACTAAAGAAAGGTCACAATGTGTCTGAATGGAAAATCACCTAAGTATAACTTTACTGCTCTAACAAAGTGCAGCTCTGCCTCCAACAAAGAAACACTGATATAAACCCATCCCTGCCAGGGACTTCGATATTTCTGAAATAACTGCTTTAGGCATATTTACTAAGTGTGGCAAGATAAGACATAAAGAGAATGATAATGATAAACTGCTAGTTTACGGGAATTACAGGGACCTGGCTAAACCCTGTGTTTAGTCGCTGCACTTTCCTTTGACTGTATAAAGGAGGAGGTGATCAATGCAAGAATCAAATGTCAGGGGCAACAGGTTTTTCCTGTGATCAATGGGAGCGTATCGGAGCTTAGTGCAACAGAGAAGACAAGATAGCATTGAGAGATTACATTGACATCATTCAGTGGCAGCTGCTTTCTTCATTTCCTTTCTGTGAGACATGCTCACGCAGAGATTCCTCCAAATGCTTTACAGTACAGACTCGACAAACTGCAGGAATCAGTCTACGGTCGTAATCCTCGACTAATGAGACATTTTAGAGGTTTAGGTAACAGCAGCTTCTTTGAAGCTCCTCTGCTTGCTGTGTGATTTCCCTGCAAAGAACACGCCAACAACACGCATATGTCCCTGGAATACTCATTATGTTGTTGGCTTAAAGCTGAACTGCATAAAACAAACAATTCATTACCAATACATAGTAACTGCAACGAAGTGAGTAGAAGGTACAATTTTCTGTTGAAAAACACCCTTCAGTTATTTTTACTGTTCTATAGTTTAGGCTCTGAGGAGTCATTTAGGCTTTCCAATTATCGGTACATGCGATGATGTTAGCTCAGCGGGAGCACTGAGCTAACCTGTAAACGGAGCATCTGTCAAGGGTGTCACTATGGCAGCCTCTGGGGTCAGCAGATGAAGAGGGAGCAATGTGTTACAATTTTTCCGCTACCCTCGTTCATCACCACTCGTGATTGAAAATGCTGCGACACACTTGCAAGTATGCGAAGCTGGCAACGGGGGCCCTTTGAAATAGTGCTGATGGCAGTTTAGCGGGAAGGCTTCCTTGAAAGGCAAGGTTCACCATGCCTTGCCATGTGGCCTTCTGATTTTCCCAGCTAAATTAGGGTCTGGCTAAGCTCCCCTTGGCATTGCCAACCATCCCAGACATCCTGACACTTTCCCCCATGGAGAGACACCCTGAACAGGTGAGAGACTCAAAATAAGGGCTCCTAGCGCGACTGGCTACGCAAAGTGAGTGAAGACAGGCCCTTTTGTAGGAGTGTGCATGGAGGGGGATTATTATTGTTTTTGGAGAGAAAGAAGAACCCCAGATCAGCTGGCCCCCAGCCCCCACCTCGAGGCCCGTGTTAATCCGTTTGAAAATGCCAGCCGCCTTGGCCAAAAGCCCCCTCCACAAGCACCCTTCTTTGAAGAGATGATACCCGAGCTTACCCGCTGCTACCCTAGCTGCACCGTACGGTGAGCCATAAAACAGAAACACAACTTTGGATCAGGTGATATGCAACTCTCTCTGGAAAATCCTTACATACCCATTGTTACGCCTAAGAAAGTACAAGTACCCACTAAAGTCAGAGCCTTTAAAGTGTTTGAAGGCCTCCGCATAGAGCTCCAGGATGTCCAGCCTACAGCGGCAACAACATGGGTGAACTAACTGCTCTTAATCGCTCCCTCTTCCTCTCTGCTTTTGCCCTGTTGGACAGTAAAATGAGACAGGTTAGTGCCAAGCTTTAATTCCTGTCAGCATCTGTTAATTATGGCCAGGACTGTTCTAATTAAAAGAGGCACCCATCTACCTTCCGTCGCTGGCTGACACAGCCACATGACTCGACTGGCAGGAACGAGCAGTGTCGAAGCCACCTGGCAGAAGCCAATCTCAGCAGGAGAAACCGTAGAAAGTTGTGACATCGTGTTTGAAATAGAGTACTTTTCCTTTTTTTAACCAATACATTTTAGAGCTAAAGGAAGCAGTTAAATATTTGAAGACCATAAGTACTTTTAATGAAAAGGACCACCATATCCTTTTATAATAGGTTTGTGCTTGTTAAAAACCGATTGTTTCCCTGGATGCTGCTGGGAAAGATGAGACTCTTTTGGGAATATGGGGTAATTAGGTTAGTAGGTTGTCAGTGGCAGGAAATTGAAAGGCAATCCTAATCAGATTTGTGTTTCTAGGGAATCAAATCTAAGTAGACAAAATCTACAGTTACATGATAATACGTTCTGTCACGCTCCCTCTCTGTGTTTAGAGATGAAAATGTACATTTTTGCATACATCTTCTGTTGAATTCCTTTTTGCTAAACGAAGACCACTGCTTCTACCTTGCATCTTCTGATTTTCCTTTCCCTCCCATTCACCGAGCGACCTCCAGTCGTCTTGCATGGGACATATCCAAATTCATCCTCTCCATGAGCACTTGCTGATGGGCAAATTGTATTAGGCTCATTTGCAGTGGCCACACAATGCCCGGGTTTGACACCGTCCTCCCTGTTATAAAGTGATGAAATCATCAAGGAAGTGCTCCGGCTGCGGGCGTTCTTCACTCAGAGGACGTAGGAAGCTGACAAATTAACTCCTCCTCCACCACAAGCGTTTTTATCGAACCTTTTCTCATCCGGCCTTTAATATTGAATTTCTTTGGGGGTTACATTATGTATACAGATTGAAGGGGTGCTCCCTCTTGACAGGATTAAGATTTAAGTTTCACCACAGCAGTGTAGCTTTTACATGCTTGCCTGCGATTGCATTAAATAACCCAAATACCCGCTCAGTGGTACCAAAAGAATAGAAGAATGTAGATGAAATATGTTAACAATGTTGAAAATTAATATAATATAAAAAAAGACGTCCAAATAGCAACCTTCTTATCAAATAATGAGATAATAAATAACTTATGTTACGATGAAGCTGGCTTGACATTTACAGTATCAGTGTGCAACCTGGCCCCCTGGTGTGGCTGGGGGTGATAAGGCCTCCATACTCCGCCAGTGAAAGAGAGGTGAAATAGGGGTCTTTTATGGGAAAGCAATACCTAGTTATCTATCTGCAGTATGACAGTGGAAGCTTTGTGCATTATATGTGTGGCTTTGCTTGTTGGCTGCTGTAGGTTTTTTTGTTGTTATTTGTGGATATTGAGGACTGCACACCTGAGTATACGAGCGGAGAGGCATGTCTCTAGCAGCTAATTAGTATGCAGTCTGCCTCACCCCAAAAGCTAAATAATTAGAGGGCCAGTCTGTGAGATCACTGACCCTGCATTAAATATTCATATGTTTAGACCTGCTCTGGGCTCAGCTGTGTCACAGTAGACCAGCCAGGCATGGGCCACATATGGGACGGCAGCAACCCTGTGACACACACACACACACACACACACACACACACACACACACACACACACACACACACACACACACACACACACACACACACACACCTCTCTCTCTCTCTCTCTCTCTCTCTCTCTCTCTCTCTCTCTCTCTCTCTCTCTCTCTCTCTCTCTCTCTCTCTCTCTCTCTCTCTCTCTCTCTCTCTCTCTCTCTCTCTCTCTCTCTCTCTCTCTCTCTCTCTCTCTCACACACACACACTCACACACACACACACACACACACACACACACACACACACACACACACACACACACGCCACAGAGCAGTCTTTTTTTTCATTGCATATATACAAGCAAGAATGTTTTTCATTTAAATGTTTTAAAGAAAACAATTACAAATATGTTTGAAATTTGGATTTGATATTTCTTAGATTTTGTCAGGATGAAAAGTACACACTCCCCATCTCATATCCCTCCTGTCTTCTTTGTCTCAGGGGTTCGTTTGGACCGTGTGCGAGGGGGCAGACAGAAGTACAAGCGGAGGCTGGACGCAGAAAACAACCCGTACCTGGGCTTGACACTCCCCCCTCCGACCAAAAAGCCTCGTGAGTACTGCTCTGTCACTAGCTCATTGTCTCCATGCTCCATCGCCCCTCCTCTGCCAGGACAGCGTGCAGGTAAAGCAGAGGCTAAGTTCCTGTCTTGTCCATGTTTGGACATTTCCCTGGTGTGTAACAAGAACTGCACAGTTACAGTCAGAGCTGAATTATTTTAAATCCAGATGAAACACTGATTTTGACCAACAGTCTACTGGAGGGTGTAAATTTGATATTTTACTTGTGAAAACTCAAGTTTTCTTTGCAAAAAGAATCTATAAACATACACTCTTTTGGATTTATTATATTATTATGTTTATCATGACCTTACATCTTTGTAAAGCTCTACAACCTCTGACCTCTCCTTTTCTGTCGTCAGTGACAAAGATAGTGTCTCACCTGTTGGTGGCAGAGCCGGAGAAGATCTATGCCATGCCTGACCCCACCATGCCGGAGAGTGACATCAAGGCTCTCACCACGCTGTGCGACCTAGCTGACCGAGAGCTGGTGGTCATCATTGGCTGGGCTAAACACATCCCAGGTAGAAAATAATATTTCTTCACATCCTGGATCTTAAATTAAAGCACTTTCATCTCATTTTATTTACTTCTTGCAAAAGAAGCCAGAACACTTAGATGATTCTTTCAGAAAATGATTTCTGTAATCACCCGGGAGATTTAAAACAAAGTTGGGGACTCACCCAATGCAATAAGACATCATATGACACACATGAATGCACACAAGCTCTGAAACACACACACACACTGCCATTGAATTATTGATGAGCATAATCGTGTTTCTTCCTTGCCCCATAGACGTTGTGATAGACGAGGTGTTAGGTTATAAGAGGCTGTTGAATTAAGGACACACCACTGAGAATACACCGCCTCACGTCAGCAGAGATTTTGCTTCCTTTGAGAGTTTTCCTCAGATTTTGACAGAGGGTGTTGTTCCGCTGCTCTTTTTCTTTTTTTTTTTGCAACCCAGGCAGATTTCGCTTGATCTTGACACTTGACCCCTGTAACTCAAAAGCATCACGATGCTGTTGGCATAAAGGAGTAACAAAATAAGTGAATGTGTCCCTCAGCAGCAACTCCATAACCTCCTCGTTTCATCAGCATAACCTGAACAGGCGCGCAGCTGTCAGCGCGTAGGAAATGTGCAACGTCACTACCACGGTTTCTTACACACAAATATGCTTTTAAGCGTGTGCCTCCTTAGATTTTGTGTCAGTTGATTCAGAATGTAAATCAACTTTTATAGATCTGGATTTTCAATCAAATCATGTGGAAATGAAGCTTGAAGCTGACCCTTATGTTGCTGAAAAGGTGTTAAGAGTACTTCTCAGAAGGAAGGGTATTAATCAGGTACAGATCTGATAGTAAGGAGATTAGGAGTGGATACGCTCCCAGCGCCTGGCCTCGTCCCCTACACATCTAAACTGTTTGGATGGCTTTCCACATGACTGTGCGTGGTCAGCAGCCTGAGAGTTTACCCAAGGAGCTTACTGAGGACTGGATCACAGCTGACCCGATAACACACTCCCGTTGTTGTGACCCAAAAATTACTCCAGCACCACACTAAAAACTCCCATGGTGACAGACTGCGCATCAGAACACAGACAGAGCAACACATCAGTAATAACTTTAGATGAAAAATTAGGTCAGTAAAAGGATTTTATATTTAACAAACACTAAACGTCGAAGTGACTTTATTTGCCTTTTTTTTTACTTTAGAAAATGCTGGTAATCCACACTTTTCCCATAGTGTTAATGTATCTGCCTCACACCTTTTGACTTCAGATTTATAGATAATGATCATCCCACCCTAACTTTAAGGCTGTATGTCCGCAGTATTGTTCGTTTGTTGCTGAGCAGGTACCTACAACTTAGGGCTGCAGAGAATAATCTGTTACCTGTGAGAAGAAAGCCTCTAAGGAGATTATTCTGATTTGTGTTTGTGTAAACGGATTCAAACTCACCGTAGCACTCATTGTTAACTCAAACGCTTCTTTTATTAAATGACAATTTAAAAGAAAAAATAAATGTCCACCACTCCAGCTAAGTGTTGGTCTGCCTCTGGTCCTCTGGTGGCGTTTGTATTAGGACAGTAGGTGTCCTCTGGCCATGAAATGGCTGCATAATTGAGTTGTACATGGCTGAACCTGATCAGAGACGGTTCACTGGTTGAGCGAGACTCCGTGCACTAACACTCCATGCACCAACGGCACCCCAGGGCAGCCTACCGTTTGCAGCTTCTGCTTTATTTCTCCCGCTCCATCCACTACAGGACAAGACAGGAACAGGGAAAAAAGGTGCTGATTGTATTCTGATGGATTTTTGTGGCCTTGGGCGGTGGAGTTAAAAAAGATTAACAGTTCATTATGAAGTGGAGCACACTGATTAGGCCACTTACAGATGGGCCAATAACTAAAGTCTAAACGCAACAGTTTGAATGTCACAGAAATTGGCACTTAGCCTCTCCCAGTTGATTTTTAAAATTTCTTCTGCTCATCGCTAACTTTCCAAAAGGCATTTGGAAGCCGGCGGCATTATGTGGAGAAGAATTGTCTAATTGAGCAGTAATGGGAGGACGAGCAGCTGTAGACGTGCTATAGATGAAACCTTTTGATCTAGATGGGCTAATGCTTGGGGTTTTTGTTTTGAGTCCTTTTATATACATGAAGCACTTTCTCTCTCTCTCTCTCTTTCTCTCTCTCTCTCTCTCTCTCTAGAGAGAGAGAGAGAGAGAGAGAGAGGGGGAGAGGGGGAGAGGGAGAGAGAGGGAGAGAGACTGTCCTAATACAAACGCCACCACAGGACCAGAGGCAGACCAACACATATATTTCTGCCTTATATATATATATATATGTATATATATATATATATATATATATATATATATATATATATATATATATATATATATATATATATATAAGGCAGACATTCTATGCAGGATTACTCTTACCAGACTGCAGCCTTGCCCTAATTTTGTAATTGCCTTTAGTTATTTAGTAATCCCAGCCGAACTTTGGGACACTGGAGTCGTCGCTCCAAATGCACTATGAAGCAGTCTAACTCGGCTGCTGCTGCTCCAGGGGTCATGGGGAGCAGTGTTACAGGGATGCTGACAGATGGCTTGTTGCTCCTAAGGTGCTAACAACCTCTGACACACATAGCAGCCCTCTGCACCCCCACCCCCTCCATCACATAAAGCTGAATTCCACTCTGTCCACTCTCATCTTCAGAGCCCCCAAACCTCTTCACCACCTTGACACTGCTGCCTTCTTTAACACTGGGACTGCACGGCATCCTGTATACTCCCCTCCACCCCCCTATGGTGGGGGAGGGTGGCATTTGTGTCCAACTGCTTGTTGTTTGCGGGGGTTTCCTTTCCTCCCATCGTTACACCGCCCCTAGAATGAACAGTTTTCAACTCAAATGAATCTCCTCTCAGCTGAGATTCTAACATCACATGTCGGTGCATTCGTGAATCAGGCTTGTTTGTATTGTTTATTTAAGGCTTGTGTTTTGGGAATATTCATTATCTTGAGCATTATTGAATTCCAGCTCATCAGCCGCGTGTTTGACAGACAACTGGCTGGCGCCCTACTTGTTAACACTGAGGCAGCGATGTTGAGAAGAGATCGCACCTCCTTGTACGTTGTCGTGTTTGTGTCAGCTCAACCCGCCGCCGTAATCACCCACCGTCCTCCAGCCCCCTCAGGGTTCCTGTTTTCTCTTTGCCATTAAATTGTGAAATCTACTTACTGTGTTGCCAGCCTGATCCCACTCAAGCTGCATAATCTCCTTGTAATAGAGTGTGAATACTGCCCAGCAATAAATCAACACCTCATCAGTGCACTTTATTAAATATAGACACCAACAGACAGCTCTCAGTATATTCAATTTACCCTCTGACGTAGGCTTCAACACAGGAGATAAAGACGGATTGAGCAATCAGGTGGATGCTGAGGCCTGAACCCGGGTGGAAGAGTGAGAGGAAGGCGGAAAACTTCAGGACGATTGAGATGGGAGTTGATCGGAGGCAGACAGGCAGTCAGGAGTGAGCAGTGACAGGAAGGAGGGATTTACCAGGCAGGTTGGAGGAGGGCAGTGTTTATGGAGAGAAGAGAAATGCATAGTTGAATAAAATTCTCAGGATTGATAAAACTGGAGCATTTTTGTTCAATCAGGGTGTTTTATTTAAATGCTGATGTGCCTTTAAGTGATTATCCGCAGAGCGCCAGCCCTCATTAAGCAATGTTACTTGATGGCGGCAAAGATAAATTATGCGTAATTACGACAATGATTAAAGCTTGATTCATCTGGTCTTGGGGGCTCAGCAGAGATATGTAAAGTCAGTGTTGGTCTGAGGGGCCCTAGAGAGGGCTGAAGACTTGTCTCCTAGGGTCAGGGGTCACAGGGCGCAAACTAAAACAAGGGGATTACTGCATTTAACGTTTCTCTGCCTCCTGCTGGTCAAAGCACCCATTCCCCCACAGGATAACAGGATATCAGGTCACATGTAGGCAAATGGGTGAGTCTCCTGAAAGCTAGAGCTGGAGTGATTAATTTTCACCCATCATCTTCTTCTTCATCAAATCAATTTTAGTGTGTACTGACGTGATTTTATTCTACATGGATCAGGCTTTGTGTCATCAAATCGGCGTCTGGGGACCGCTTGAAGCAAACCGAACTGTCTGTGTTGCACATGTGGCCCAGATATCAGGTCAAATTATTTATGCGGAGCGCAGCAGTTTATAACCGAGCTGTTATTGATTAGATTTACCTGACGCCGTCGTGTGAATTCCACAAGAATCATGGTTTGCACACGTGGATCCATGCAGATGAGGCTGTAAAGAGCAACCATTGTGAATCGGATCAAAATTATTTATTTATAGCGTGCCACACTGCTACGTTAGACAGATCTATGTAACTCAAAGGTGCATCTACTTTCTCCCCAGGTCTTTTGTTTTTCAGTCAGCCGTCTGAGCTGAAAGGAAAATCTCTGATAGAGAAAAAGCTCACGGCGGTGTGATCATAAGTCCCAGTTTGAGGTTAGAATAAAAGACGTGCCGAACCCCTGGGGTACTGTTAGGGGCAGTTCTGCTTCAACTGGTGCCCGGAGAGCACTTGACTTGGCTGAGGTGAGATTGCCGCTGGGCAGACATCTTCAGGGCCCCCTTGTCCTTCTGATAGCTGGCCATGATAGATCAGCCCACGTCCAGCCAGAATTACTCTCCTTCCTCTTTCTATCTCCCAGTTCCTTTCCCCCCCTCGTGCTTTGGTCCTCATTCGTTCTCTTTCGTCCTTATCTCCCTCCTCACTGGCCCATATCTCCTCCTCTCTTTTATCCCCCATTTCTTAACCTCTCTCTCCTCTCCTGCCATCCTTTTCCCTCCTCTCTCCCCCTTCTTTGTCTGCTCTGTTGTCTGATTGAGGGTGAGTTACGAGGGGGCTGCAGCTGGAGGGGACCGCCGTGCCTCATAATTACATCTCTTTTTATTACTCGCGCTAATGGCCCTCCGGGAGAGAGAAACAATAATAAATTAATAGAATATGAACTCCAGCTCAACAAAAATCTCCAGCATTTCATTTTGGACCGTCCTGTGCTCTGGCAGATGAAACAGTGCTCTGATTAATCTCTGCAAGGGGTTTGAAACGGCCGTCTGTGGGCTGGAGCTGCCCCCTCCTGCTCACAGCTGAGGGCTTTCGGGCAGATAAAAGGAGAGATGATGGTTTCCGCTTCTGTTGTCGGTCTTTAATGGTCTTGTTTTGGTAGCAGGAGGAAAGTATTTTTGTCCCGTGTTTTATTTATTTATTTATAAATTGATCTAAATTTCAAGCCTACAAAGTTTTATTGTAATTTTTAGGAGTGAAAATCCTAATTTTATTTATTTTTTTTGATCAGGCTGCTGAAGTGGAAGCAAACGTTGTTATTATCTCCCCTTTCTCACCGCAAAGAATTTCCGACAGGAACCTCCCGGTGCACTCAGCAGCGGAGTGGAAAAGCGCCGTTGAAGTGCACAGACAGGCTCCTCTAATTTGGTCAATATTGTGTCATGTTTGGTCAAACCCCGCCAAGGCAGTGGGCTGGAAATGAAGATGTAAATATTGATATTTCATTAGAGGAAATCACCCAGTCCGACGGCACTTAACCGGGCCACCTTCAGAGTGCGGGCGGCCGGAGCGCCGCGTGACCTGTGGAGTCGGGAAGTCACTTCATTACTCGATTAAATTGAGTGGAAAAAGGCGAGGCAATGACACAAGATCCCATTTGGAGCGATAATTTAGGCTTTGAGGAGAGCGGCTGGAGCGAGGGGAAAACACTACCTCTCCATCTCACAACACCGGATTAAATTCAAGGACTTTTAGCGTCAAAGGTAATTGCAGGCTGCTGGGATGCAAGTTTGCATATGGCTGAGAGGTGTCTGTTGTATCAGAACAACTCCAGAGCCACTTCAGCGAGCCCTGAACAAGGCCTTCACTCGAGCTGTCATACCGGGAGCTGCGCTTTAGTTCCGCTTCAGTCCTCCTTGGCATTAAAAGGCTACACAGAGCCTCGCCTGTGATTGTGATGCCAACCTGATGCGGCAATCAACACCACATCCAAGCTTGCATGACAATTTCTCTGCAGCCAGTCCAGATTCTGTCCAACTTAATGGCTACGTATGCAGACAAGGAAATAACACAACAAAGCTTTTCAAGATTCTGCCTGGATTTGTGTTATACAGCTCGAACCATAAAAAATATACGGCTTATTGCCTTCTCTGATAAGTGTTTGGAGTGCTTTTGGCGCTATACTTTGTTGTGTCTAATTTAGGCTCTGACCAATCTACCTGGGCACGAGCACCTTTCAGTTAGCACTCTTTTCTGCTTACTATTGATTCCCCTTCGAAATGTGAAGGCCCTCAACTTCTGATCACAATCTGTTAATTAATGTATCCTGCAGCTCTTCCCCGCCGTGGTCATCACCACGATAAGGGAAATTGAACACTCAGGTACCACTCTCCCTGGCTCCTCTTTTCCTCTCTCATCTGCCCCATTTCTCTCCCACTTTCTCTCACGGGTCTTGGTTTTTGTCTCTTATTCTGTTCCAGCTGTGTGTGTGTGTGTGTGTGTGTGTGTGTGTGTGTGTGTGTGTGTAGTGGCGTGGCATGAGGAGATAAACATCAGGCTTCTGGCTGCACCTCAGATCATTTATATTCAAGAGAAAACGTTTGATGCAGGTGCAGCGAGTCGCCCTGGTCAATACTGTAATCTATCGCCTGTTAATCACACAATGGCAGCTGCTGTGGCACCAGCAAACTTGTAAAAAGCAATCATATTAATCAGGGGTGGAGCTGAGGAGTCTAATATGCTGTCAGAATGAGCTGCCTGCAGGAGCACCGTGCAGGAGGAGGGGTGTGTGAGTGCGGGGTGGTTGGAGGGGTTTATTGACAGCTAAAAGGTAAAGGAAGAAGAAAAAGGGATGAGATGGCTATCTGATCGTCTGCGTCTCCCTCTTTCCTCCTTTCTCTTTTTGACTTAAGTCTCTTTTATTTTGTTTGAATTTCTCCAAGCTCATCTGTGTGGGATCTAGCTGTTTGTTTTATTTAGTGTTCTATTCTCAGCACATGTCGAGGTGTTGGAGAGGAAATGACAGCGACTTGATGTACCCGTGCCAATTTCAGCTCATCCAGCTGCTGCAGAATGAGATTCTGGGTTTAAGCAGGTCTCCAGGCTGGGCTTGAACCATGTGACCCCTCTGTGTGTGTGTGTGTGTGTGTGTGTGTGTGTGTGTGTGTGTGTGTGTGTGTGTGTGTGTGTGTGTGTGTGTGTGTGTGTGTGTGTGTGTGTGTGTGTGTGTGTGTGTGTGTGTGTGTGTGTGTGTGTGTGTGTGTGTGTGTGTGTACTTTTATGTGTATGGATTTATGTGCATACATATAGATGTCACGATCCCGATGTGCACATGTGTCTGTTTTCTCGGCTGACGTGTTTGTGTCCTCGTGCCCATCTGTGTGTGCCTGTGTCCCGTCATCACCTCCTCCTGTTACCACGGTGCATGTCATGTCCTCAACCCCTCCAGTGAGAACGTATTTGGTGCTAATCCCCCTAACACCAATAGAAGAGTGGCAGGATACAAGGGGTAACCACATGGCTTTGTGTAACTCGGACCTTTGCTCTGATTTACTGTCCTCACTTACAGTAAAGCCCACTCAAGTGCTCCGACACGAGCTTCAAAGGAGACCTTCCACCGTGCATTTAAAATTAACCACATGTGCCTCGTGTGGACTCTCAGCTACTGCAGCTTGACAAATGGTGTTTGCTCTACTGATCAACGCCTCAGTCACATGGTTCTGGTTTCATTTCCACCATGAAATCTGTTTTTTTATTCTGCTTTAGTCGAATCATTTAACAAGTTTAGTCTCCTGTTTCTGTTTCACATCGTTACTTGCTGTTTTTCACCTTGTTGTCCTCACTAGTTTTCGTCCTCTCTTATCCAGGATTCTCCACCCTCTCCCTGGGAGACCAGATGAGTTTACTGCAGAGTGCCTGGATGGAAATCCTCATCCTCAGCATCGTGTTCCGCTCACTGCCGTACGAGGACGAGTTGGTGTACGCAGAGGACTACATCATGGACGAGGAGCACTCGCGGCTGACGGGCCTGCTCGACCTGTACGTCTCCATCCTGCAGCTGGTCCGCAAATACAAGAAGCTCAAAGTAGAGAAAGAGGAGTTTGTGACCCTCAAAGCCATCGCTCTCGCCAACTCAGGTGGGACGCCGTCCGCACGCCAACACGTCAGGCAGATTTATTTGTTTGAAAACAAACAATTAGGATTTATTTAACAAAATATGAAAAAGTCTGGATTTTTAAATTAATGTCGTGAAAATATTTTTTAAATAGCAAGTTATTTATTTAGAGAAAATACATTTATTTGTTTTGAAAATTTAAAATCATTGTTTAATTCTACAAAAATACAGTTTTAAAAAATGAAATAATCTAAAAGTGCATTGCTCTTTTGACACAATAATATGACATTTTTTGCTTTTAAATGGTTTAATTAATAACAAATATGGATATGCAGGAAAAAAAATTTAATGTTTAATTTCCTTTATGTGATACTCAGTTACTCGTGTTTTTTAATGCACAGCATCAGCGTATTTAGGTTTTCAGTTCAACCTTTAGTTTTCAGAATGAGATGAAGTAGAGAAGAGAAATTAGGGCCAGCGTGTAAGACGAGAAGGCTCAAGTAGTTTTTTTTTTATCGAACACCTTCTGTGTTGTGGTATTTCACCAGCGCTCCATCGCCCCCCCTCCATTTCCATAACAGTAGCTGCAGGGCACCGCAGCCATGTGAGGTAAATTTAGCATTTCATTAGGAGCACAGGGGCTGTCAATAAAATGTGTTAAGTTGAATGGAACGAGTATCAGGGAGTGATGGGCCTCGTTTGTTCCAGTGCAAAGACGGCACGTTGCTATCGACAAGGTGCCTTTTGAGGAGGCAGGACCTGTCCCGCTCTGATCAATGCACGCCTGGGTCACCAGGCTGCTTTCCCTTGTTTTGTCCGGCGTGTAAAAATGAAAATGCTGATGCAGGGACTTTGCTTTCAGACTGCAGAGCGTTTGGGAGGCAGGCAGGGTGGGGGGGAGTGGGGGACCGAGGAGGAGGAGGGTGTCCGAAATGTTAGAACAAGGTCTCTGGGAGACGACTCTCCCAAGAGCCCCTCAGTCTGACAGCTGTGAAAATTCCTAGCGATTGATTTTGTGATTAGCAGTTTATCAATTCGATCGATGTGGGCTCACTGATGGATTGCTAGGAAATTGTTTCTTCAAAGTTGTGTTTTTTTTGTCTCCCCCTGCTCCACTGAAGGAAGCGACGTGTTCACTGCCCTCTTTTCTTTCACATCCATTCCGATGTCTCCATCGCTTTTTATTTTTCTCCTCCTCCACCCCTTTGCTGTAAAACATGCCATTAAAGCACGGTTCAGGTCAGGTTTATCGCTAAAAACGTGTGTCTGTGTAGGTGTGAATGAAAGAACTCAGCATTGGTGTGATTTGTAAAACTGGTGAGCGTGTGAAAGCAGCGTCTGTGAAAATAACAAGAGATAATTATGTCACACCACATCTGTGTCTGTGATTTTCCTCTTCCTTCTTTTTTTATTTATTTTTTTGGCTTTTGTTCTTCCAGCCTCCCCTTGTCACCCCTCCCACGTTCACTTTACATAACGACCCGCTTCATTTTACCACGGTGGATTTGAAAACCGTCAGGGTGAGAAATGTCTCAAGGTCTTGGGAATACAGTTGTTCCAGTCAATGAATTTGGGACGAAGCCTGAAATCTGTTTTGCCTTTTATTGTCCCGCGTGGTGAAATATGCACTGCCAAGGTGAGACGAGTCAGGCGGCCAATGACACGCCGTCTCCCGGGTGCAAGATGCCAGTTAACCAGTGAGAGAAAGCGCCACCCCGGACTGTCCCTGAGAGGGAGCGGGAGGCGAGAGCAGGGCCAGAAATGGGTGAAAACGAGAGAGCAGAGAGGTAACGGCATGTAGCGTAGCGTGTAGCGTGACGTTATAGGAAAGCGAGAAACACCAGAGGGAAGCCAGACTGAAACTGTAGACCGCTCCAAAATTATTCAGGAGGTGGGAGAGATATCTAGTGTGGGATTTGAAACCTAAAGAGAAGGTTTTTTTTGTTTTTTATGATGCAGAAAAAACAAATTTGCCTGAAGCCGTTTTAATCGGGAGGGAATTGCTAAATTCAGCCCACGCTTTATATTGTTGTCCACTCTTCTAATGGAGCTGCTTTTCATTTTCTGACACCATTCTGTCCTTTGGAACGGTGAGGTGTTTAATGTGTGCTCTCACAGCCAAGAGTCAGTCATATTCATTGCATTGTTCAGTAAAGGACAACACTGGTTCGCAGTTCCCCTGGACAAACACCATCTGAGTGCATCAGTCCAACAAATGTACATAAATTAAATAAACATTTTTTGTTTGTTTTTTGTGATGTATTAAAGTTTTACCTTGTTAGCGTGTGAGTTGTGCTAACATGAACACAAAAAGATCAATTAAAAGATTTATTGTAATCTACCGTTATAAGTGCTAACTGCTTTTCATTTCAATTGAAAGTCCGTCATGCATCTTCCTGTCCTCTCGTCCCAGCAGACTCCATGCACATAGAGGACATGGAGGCGGTCCAGAAGCTGCAGGACGCTCTCCATGAGGCCCTGCAGGACTTCGAGAGCAGCCAGCATCAGGAGGACCCACGGCGGGCTGGCAAACTGCTCATGACACTGCCTCTGCTGAGGCAGACGGCCACTAAGGCTGTGCAGCACTTTTACAGCATCAAGGTGCAGGGCAAGGTGCCCATGCACAAACTCTTCCTGGAGATGCTGGAGGCCAAGGTCTGATGGAAGGACCAGGAGGCCAATCGGCTACGGCATCAGTGAAGAGCAACATTAAGGACACGGAAAATGACTTGAACCAAGGCTGGGGGTTCTTGGGAGGGGGAGACACATGGACAGTGCAGGACGGAGACTGATATCCTTTGCTCCTCCTCTTCCTTGAATCATGGGACACAACATAATAAAAAAAACAAGTGGAAAACGTGGGTATTAGTATAAATATTAAAATGATGCAGATTAATTTAAATATATAAGAAATGCTATGTACAGTTTTTTTCTTTTATTTTGGTAATTGTCAGTGCTGCACATGAAGAAGGACCCTTCTGCTACTCAGCATCTTCAGAATGAGCAAATCTTTTTTCAGAAAGCAAAAGTTCCTAAAACTCATTCAGGAAAAAGCTACGGTGTCAGCAACTGTACCTGGACTCACTTGTCTCGCTCTTGCGTTTTTTAGCCTGGACTCAACCAGGACATGTAAATATTTATTATTTGGAAGGTTGAGTGTACAGTTCAAAGTCTGGCGAACCTGGTGGCCATTTTTCTCCTCCTGCAAAAGAAAAAAGAAAAAAGCTGAAACGAGGGAAGATGTTGCCTAAATGTGAACTCTTTTATCAGTTAAAATGTCCTTGGATATACCTCCCCAGAGCAGTGTGATCTTCACGTACTGGTCTGGACTGGGACCTTTGCTGGTCACAAATCTAGCATCGACAGGTCAAATAGTTAATCGTCTTATGTAGTAACTCAGTAATAAAGAGAGCTGTTGGAAAGCTGGGCTAATTTCCTATCTTTCATGTGCTTTTTTTATGCTGCTGTTGCTTCTCAGACACACAAGTTTTGCAGTCGTAATTCCCCGTTCCTGAAGAGGTCTGCATGGGTGGTTCTCGTGCTCTAAAACTTAGATTTGGCCATTGGTTAAGCCTGTGGAAATTGCTTCTCAACATGCAAATAGATGACCTGATTCAGCCTAGGTGAAAGATGATCAGCAGGCTTTTGGTCTGGAAGTTTCAAAGGATTTATGGCGAGTGGCAGGAGTCTGAGATTCCGTGTTCAAACAATCAGAGGCCCGCATGTCAGCCGTGCTCTATTTTTGGGCCTCTTAAGCCTGTGGCCGAGTCATCCCACACACAGGGAGCAAGGTGTCCAGCATCTGCTCTCGCCGTTTTAGACACCTCCCGTCTTTTAATAGGCACGCCTGCTTTTATAGGACTCCGACCAAACGGAGGTGAACGGCAGGTGCAAGCCAGAAGCCGTGGCCCATCACAGCGGGCTTATTTTTACCCAGTGGGAGGCTGTTTTCTGCACAGGAGTACAGTAGGCACGTGAAACAGCACCTCTTGACCTCATGTTGACACGGTGGCCGGTGCAGAGTAACACCCTTCCCCACCGGCCAGGAGGCAGGCATCTGTGATGAGAACGCCGAGTGCCCAATCATGCACATGTGAACAGCTATGCAAGAAACAAAATGTCATCACGCCTCAAAGGGGAAACGGCAACTCGACAGTGTGTCTGTACAAGGTGTGATCTCTGGTGGGGAGACCGATACCCCCCACTCATCGAGTTTAGCTACAGGTTCATTACGATAAGTGTGCCGTCCACTGCTCTCCTCGTGGAGAGGATTTTGTCACACTGTGATCAAAGGGATCCGTTCGAGCTGCAGCCATGCCCGTGATGCCAAAACCAGGCGTGCGTTTCTACACAGCCACCTGATTGGCCACCAAATGGAGGAAGGCTATCTTCTGTTCATCAAAAACTTAAACTAGTCCAATGTTCTAATGTAGAGGATAAAAACTACTGTTGTGCAATACAACGGGACCAATTCTGACTGGTCATGCTAAAGGCATGCTTTTGGCAAAATGTTCATTGTTTGGTGAAATAAGTTCATTTACTACAATCTATCCTGCAACACCAATAAATAAATAATGTATCATTGCAGATTGTGTCCATTGTAAATATATAAAGTACCGCCATCGGGAAATGAAGTATGCAGCTCCCTGCTGACTACTACCTCATTGTCAATTTGTCGACGTTTATCCGAAATTACCTGTTTTATTCTCACATCTTCACATACCTGAGCCATCATCGTTGTTTTATCAATAAAAGAATAACAGGTTACTCTCCCTCATTGTTCTTGCCAAAACATTTGTAACTAGTTCTGGGTTTTTCGCATCCTGTCAATCCTCGACAGACTGTAAAGGTAAAAGCATGCTTCGTGTTGACCATACGACTTGACCATCAGTGGGTTTGAGCCCCGTTCTGGTTGCTGTGTTTGTATGAGCATCAGTGTGTCAGAATTGGTCCCTTGATGACGAATTGCAGAAGGGGGCGGGTAACTTGAGTTCCTGCTTCTGTGCTACGAGTATTTATTGTGTGAAATATATCATTTGGCAATGGTGTACATTGATATCTCTGATTGTTGAATCACCAATATCTGTGTAATTTTCTGTTTTTGATTTTCAAAAAGGCTAAAAGGAATCAATGAATTAAATACTCACTGAACTCTGCGATTCTTTTGTGTTTTGACTGGATCCGCACGTTTACGCTTTGCTGCGCTTATACCAGTTTATGTTTTAATCCAGCGTGGCATCCCACCTAACCTTGCCCTCTGCTTGCTGTAAATACCCATCCTGAACAAACAAACACACACGCAGACGGAGTGCAGATCGGAGCTCCCAGAAGACCAGAGATTGGTGGCTGAGCGAGGCGAGCCGGTGAGAGATTCACCCAGGCCACCCAACCATCGAGCAATCAACCCTAGCCGCTGCAGGGCCAGGGACTGTTGAAAATGGATCCGTCACAGGAAACAGGCAGACAGACACGCTAACACTGATGGCGGTGGGGGGAGGAATGGTGGTGGGGGGGAAGCTCCATTATTTCAGGAAGCTGATATTCCAGGGAGTTAAAGTATTCCCTTCACTATATAATTATGAGAGCCAATTTCCCTTTTTGAAATAATGTCTTGCCAACCAATTAATTGTAATAATCCTCTATGTTGAAACAATACTGTCGTAAGACGAGAGAGAGGATGAAGGGAATAAAAAAATAAACTAAGTTTTGTGATGATCTAGAGCTCAGTGATGCAGAGTGCTGTGTTTTTAAAACTGATGCTCTCCTTGTTGCTCATGCAAATCGTCCAGTTGGAGCAGATCGAGGCATCAATACGTTTCTCACAGATACAGTAAAGCAATCGTTTACCTCTGCTGGCAGGTCAAAGCACCTTCCATTAGAGTTACGCGACATCTCTTCAAGATGCAGCCGCCACTCGCAGCTGTATGGCTGCTGTGTATTGCATGAGTGTTTTTCATTATTCCCAAAGCAACACGATGATGGTGAGGGAAAGGATTAGACGTCAGAGTGAATGATTGGGTTTGAACAGAGCTGCTGCATACACTTTGTATCAACCCGGGCCTCAAATTACACTTAGGTTGAAAACAGAGCGCGTAAATGCCCAGGAGAGCTTGTGGCACAAAAATGAAGAGTGGGCCACCATCTTTCTGCTTCTGTTTTCCTCTCTCTCACACAGGGACACACTCGCCATCCCTTTTCTTTAGTTAGATTTTACTTTGACCTCCCCGTCACCGCCTGCCTTCTCCTCTCCGCGTGCTGCCCCGTGTTTTTTAGGCACAAACGTTCTTTATGGGCCTTCTTATTGTTCCACTGATTCTGTTATGTGTATTTATTGCTCCATTTGTGAAATTGGAGGCAGCGGCCGACAAACCTGTTACTATTCAATAACTGGAGCAAGACATTTTCACAACCATAGAGCTATCAATGTCCCAGACAGAAATGTTACGTCACATCAATTTCAGAAGGCAGACAGATTGCTATATTGTTGTAGCGTATTAGGCTGGAGAAAGAAATTCCTCCGACTTGGCTGGGGAAACTGAATGCCAGCAGTCAGCAGCATGTCTGGTCTTTAATAAAAGGACAATGTAATGGGCTCAGGAGTGGATCTATTTCCTAATAGATCCTGGTTACTGCTGTGCTGTACCTGTCCGACTAGCAGTATCCAAGCCATGCATCCTCACACCTCTGACCCAGCCCAGAACTGATCGATAGGCTGTAACAGTGCCTAGCAGGCACACGGATCAGGCCATCTGAGATTTCGCCCTCTCATTCTCCATCTTCTCTGTTTTAAGTGCATTTATCAGGTTACACTCCTGCACCACTTAATGCACGGATAAGCTGCTGTTTTCTAAAAACCCAACGGCCATCAGCAGGACCTTTGTCCCAGCCTGTCAAATGACTTTGATTGCAATAAAAAAATGTCTGATCATTATGCAAAAGTAAAATTAGGAGCTTGTTTTAATCTGATCTGAGTCTGACATCGAATCTGGAGCAAAACACGAAGCATCTTCCACTCTGGACCATCTCATTTTTATTTAGAGTGCACTGAAAGGGCGATCTTCATTGTTTCAACCACTGCAGAAATTATGCAAACCCACAAACTCTCTTGAGACCTCGCTCGTCCCTCAGGACGCAGAGAGACAACACCACACATGACGCGGCAGTGTGTGACCATAGCGACCAGCCGGAGCTACAGAAAAAATAACTAAAATCAGCGTGTGCAGGTTCTGCAACACTTAAAGATTGTAAGAACAAAACTGGTGCTAGAGAGCAGGTAAAAAAATATTCACACACACACACCTACACACACGCGCGCGCACACACACATAGAGATAAGTTGATGTTAAGAGTTTTGTCACTTCATTTGAGATTTATTTACTTTACCGTATCTTTATCTGTGCAGCTCACTGATACGAAGCTGCCGGAGAGCAGAAATATTTCCAACTATCTGCTGAATGTATCTTCCTCCATCCAAGGAAAGAGCAATTGTGAAATGTGTGTGTGTGTGTGTGTGTGTGTGTGTGTGTGTGTGTGTGTGTGTGGTGTGTGTGTGTGAGGGTGGCTTTTCTTCCTACTGTTTTATTACCTCTGCCATGTATTCACACGTTCTTATTGGCTTTTCCAATTTAACCACTGGTTTGGAAATAATGAAGGGCGATAAGGAACATTGATAAGCATGGATACGTCCATCAATTTGAGAAAAACTTACACAGGGTGGTGTGTGTGTGTGTGTGTGTGTGTGTGTGTGTGTGCTCACTTCACAGGCGCTTAACAGAATTACAGTGTTATTACTCTGTGTGAAGCGTGTGTTTTGAATTGTATAAAGACATTTGCTTGATCTGCGAGGGCAGGTGGGGTCAGAGTCAGATTATTTGTGGATTTAATTCTTAATATTGGTGGTTCAGAACTTTAGAAGTGGGAAAGATTTTGAATAGTTAATTTTGGTTCTTTTGTTCTGGTGTAAAAAAAAAGGAAGGATTTCTTTTACTTGGAAGTATTTCCAATCTGCACCAGCTGATTTCTCCAACACACCTGGCAGCTTGTCCAGATTGGCCACACCCACCACTGTCAGAAGGTCTACAGCTCATTTTGGTTAATTGGCCACTGATTATAACCTGATCCTCAGTCAGACACAACCTGGTGTGTGCTACAAGTTTGAGCCAAAGGTTTTCCTTTGACCAGGTGTGTGTTGTCTTCTGGAATGTTTTAGTGCACACCCTGGATGGAGAAGATGGTCATTTTCTCTGATATTTCTGCAGGATAAGAATCTCAATGTCTCAACAAGCTCAGGGCTACAGCCTAGCCTTTCTTCCTGTATTCGCCTCCTGTAGTCCCACCCCTGAGACAAATGTGACCTGGTTAGCACAAAAAGCAGCAGTAGCAATTAGCGGGTAAGTTCCTGCAGAAATATCACATTTCTGAAAATGCAATAATTTATTATGACATGTGCAAATGTTTGAAGATGTATTGGATCATGTTTACATGAACAACATAGGCATGCCCCCTCGCGGGCCCTTCGCTCAGCCGGCAGGGAGCTGTTGATCGTTCCACGCACTAAGTGCAGGTCACGGGGGGACCGTGCGTTCTCTGTGTTGTCCTCTGCTCTTTGGAACCAGTTGCCTTTGGTGGTGCATCAGTCACCCTCATTGGGAGTTTTTAAGTCTCGCCTTAAGACCCATTTTTTTGTCAAGGCATTTCAGGATTAGCTAATTTTACCCGGTTGCGATGCCCCGGCCTCTTAATGTTTTTCAGGATTTTATTTTTTGCTTTTACTCTCCTCTTTTAATTGATTTTATGTTGGTTTTACGATTGTTTTATTTTATTCTGATGGTTTTATGTTTTTATTGTGTTGTGTTCAGCACCTTGGGCGTCTGCAATGGTTGCAGAAGGGGCTTTATAAATAAATGAAATGAAATGAACATCTACGAATGGTTTGAGCTTAGTGTTGTCTTGGCCTTGCTAAAACTAGATCATCAGTTTAGTGTCTTTCTGCAAACTAAGGCTGTCCAGAGCACTATGAAGTATGCAATAATATATGTGAGCAAAAAATAATTATGACGATTTGGAGTGTTTGGCTGTTTGCATCTAAAGTCTTGCTGTGTGCTGATCTTAACTGTTCGCTTTGGGGTACCGGGGTTTTTCTGGGTTAGCTGTGAGGATCCAGGGAGGAAATGTTCAGTCTGGACTCCAGTGGGATGCCGCGGATGTGCCTGACCTTTTCCCCGTGTCAAGCAAAGGTTAGAAATCTCCAGTGGCCTTAAAGCAAATGCACTTGTTTGCCATAATGGAGGAGGCCTGAGCCTTTTTGAGCCAAAGACCAGGTCTGGTCCCGTGGGATTTTTCTCTGATGGAATTCTCTGGAATTCACACACAGACACTCACTCATGCACATCTACTGTCTTTACTGTATAATTTAATGCAAGTGAGCGTCGGGTGTTCCAGTTTTACCTTAACCAAGTGTTTTCTGAGAGCATAAATTATTTTACATGTTGGAAAAAAAGTCCCTTCCTATTTTATGAGATTCTTATTATCATTTTCCCGTCATTTTGGAGATGAACTGTGAGTCAAACAGTCAACAACACGATAAGAGTGCATATGAAGTGGGAAACATGATTCAATACAATTCAAAAATGATCAGCCATCCCTTATCCTCATGTAGAGACAACATAGATATCTCATAAATATTGGTGGGGGCCCATAGACACCCTATAACGCACATGGCCGCTCGTAATTCACACGCATATATTCATAAACGTGATTTCATACTTAAAATATGACTCATAAAGGCTGATATATGGAAATTGACAGATCATATGTGATTCTGGAATTAAATATCATAGAGATCACATGTTTTATGTCCTTTTCCCCTTTGCTTGAGGAGGGAGCCTTGACCATGCAGATAATTTACAGTGTTATGGGAGGAGTGCAAAACATGCTGTAAATAAATAAGACTCAACCCATTTAATTTTAGGACAGTGGGGAGGTGAGCCCCCCCCCCCCCCCCCCCCCCCCCCCCACACACACACACACACACACACACACACTGTCTCCTCTGGTTCTCCTTTCTGGTGTCCTGTTGGAACACCGATGTCTCTTCACTATATCACCCAGAGAAGAGGGGACTGCAAATGGGGCACTACGTAGTCCATTTGCTAAT